ACATAAAAAATGTCAAATGTGACTCAATTCCTTTTAATTTTCTTTAGTTTTCATGGATTTTTTTAAGGGCTAGACAGTGTTTGTTTTTGTTTTTGTCTTCAGGCTGGAATATATGTTTCATATATTCATATATTTCCTGTATTTTCACTTTTTAAGAAATAATTTTCTTCATCTCCCCTTTGGTCTACATGCAAAAGCTACAAGTTAATTTGGAATAAACAACAGAATCACAGGAAGATACATTATGATGCACCCCCAGAGAATTTTACATAAATAATTTTAGATCAAGGAGTATCTTCTACTATATCCAGTAATAATATTACCTTACACTTCATAGTACTTTACAATTCAAGGTACTTTTCCATACATTATCTAGTTTAACCCTAAAAATAACCCTGTTACAGACATTTTTAAGTGTAATGAAAAATCCTCAGAAGGATAAAGCAGCTTTCTTAGAGATAGCAAATGGTGAAACAGAAATACAAACCTTGGATTTCTTTCTTTCTTTCCTTCTTTCCTTCCTTCCTTCCTTCCTGCCTTCCTTCCTTCCTTCCTTCCTTTCCTTCTTTCTTTTCTTTCTTTCTTTTTGAGACAGAGTCTCACCCTATCACCAGGTGCCAGGCTGGAGTGCAGTGACGCGATCTCGGCTCCCAGTTTCAAGCAATTCTCCTGCCTCAGCCTCCCGGGTAGCTGGAACTACAGGCGCACACCACCACACCCAGCTAATTTTTTTTTTTTTTGGAATTTTTTTATTAGAGACGGGGTTTCACCATGTTGGTCAGGATGGTTTCGATCTCTTGATCTCGTGATCCGCCCCCGTCGGCCTCCCAAAGTGCTGGGATTACAGGCTTGAGCCACCACTCCCCGCCTAAACCTGGGATTTCTTACCATTCATCCATTTTTACTACAGTTTTTCATTGTTCTCAGAAGAATGGCTCAAAGTTTCCCTTGTTACCCACCACCCATTGCAGACATGATACTGTTCCAGATGCCTAATGTAAATACATCCTGCAGAAATTGAAGATTACTAAATTCCTATCACTTGAGCTAAATTAACTTTCCCAAGGTCTTATATGGAAGGTAAATTATCATATTTTCTAAATCAGTAGAAAATAAGGCTTTTTCTTTCAAAATATGCATGATCTAGAATGAGAATCAGCAAACTCTTTCTGTGAAGGGCAAGATGGTGAATATTTTAGGCTTTGTGGGCTAGACAGTCTCTGCAAAACTACTCAACTCCATTGTAGCATGAAAGCAGCCTTAAGCAATATGTAAATGGATGGACATGGTTGTGTCCTAATAAACTTTATTTATAAAAACAGGAGCAGGACGGATTTGGCTCATGGGCTGTGGTTTGCCTGATCTAGAAAATGCCACTTCCATTCACTCCAGAAAGATGGAGAGTAAGATCTAGGTTGTCCTTACTGAAGCACCAAGAGAAACACATAGCAGAGAGAAGTGAATATTCTTATATGTTAGGGTTTGGTTTTGTTGTCATTTTATACAGGAAAGGGGTTGAGGAGGGGCTGATCTGGTAACTCTGCAAGCCTGTATTCTCTAAGCTGTATGACAGAAAATACTATTCTTGCCTCTGGCTAGAGGCATAGCCAGAGAGATATAATGGCATATATCCTGTAATTCCACACATGCCTCCTGGTTTCTTATGTATTGTTCTGGGAGCCAGTGGGTACACAAAGATGAGGACAGCTCACTGGCAACCTTCCAAAAGTTCACTGTCTGGAGTAGGGATAGGAGAGGAGGTAATAAGGACACACAAGTATGCAAAAAAAAAAAAAGTGCAAAGAAAAATGTGGAAAACACTAGTAAGGAAGTGTTTCAAAAGTATACCAGGAAGACAAAGGTAAGGGAAATGAGCTTTGTCCTGGGTGAGTAGGGTGGCATGACGGGAGAGGATGACATCTCGCCAGGCCATGAGGAGTGTGAGGATCCCAAAAGGAGCTGCTGGAGGAATAAGTCAGGAAGAAGAAACTGTCGGCATATGGGTACATAGATGCAGGGCGTGTGCAGAAAATACCATAATCCCCCCTACCTAGAGCATGGGACAGGTGAGGGGACAGAAAGGGAGAAGTGGGAGCTGGAAATCCAACCAAACCTTCCTGAGGGCCTGAAAGGTGAAGCTGGGTATTGAGATTTTTATTCCACAACATAAAAGAGCCTGAGTTGTTTTGAGCAGATACATAAGCAAGACCAGAACTGAGCTTTACCTAGAGAATATCACCAGTAGTGCTGGGAATGCTAGGTTCACTATATGAACCTCTAAGAACTCCACAGCAACACTGTCTAAGAGAAATATAATGTGAACCACCAATGCAAGCCATATCTGATATCTGTGATTTTAAAATTTCTTGTTAGCTGCAATTTTAAACAGTAAAAAGAAACAGGATTAGTTGTAATAATATCATTTAGTATAATTTCTCCAATACATGGTTTCAATGTATAATCAATATAAAAATGATAAACGAGACATTTTACATTCTTTACCTCACACTAAGTCTTCGAAATCCAAGGTATATGTTACATGAAGAGAAAATCTCAGTTCATATTTGCAGGATCGTAGCTAGTGGGCACCGTATAGGACTGCACAGGTCTAGAGCCTAAGTGAGAAGAGGCCTCCAGGAAGGGACTATAGGCGTAAGGTGGAGGTGAGATCAGAGGATGGTTGTTTGAGGATGCCTGGCTGTTTATTTCACCAAGTCCCCTTGTGCCCCAGCTCTTTTAGAATAGCCATCAAGGGAATAATTGCTGTGCCTTTACAAAATAAACTGTTCATAAAATTCTATGCAAACTCAGAAAATACTGTTCTGTCTAAAGGTAGGTAAATATTAAGGTAAGTAAACTCTCAGACACTGTATACTTGTCAGGGTTCTCTAGAGGGACAGAACTAATAGGACAGATGCATATATAAAGGGGAGTTTATTAAGGAGTATTGACTCACAGGATCATAAGGTCCCACAACAGTCCATCTGCAAGCTGAGGAGCAAGGAAGCCAGTTGAAGTCCCAAAGCTGAAGAACTTGGAGTCCAGTATTTGAGGGCAGGAAGCACCCAACACAGGAGAAATATGTAGGCTGAGAGGCTAAGCCAGTCTAGTCTTTTCACATTCTTCGCCCTGCCTTCATTCTAGCTGCACCGACAGCTGATTAGATTCTGTCCACCCACATTGAGGGTGGGTCTGCCTTTCCCAGTCCACTGACTCAAATGTTAACTCCTTTAGCAGCATCCTCACAGACACAACCAGAAACAATACGTTTCATCTTTCAATCCAATCAAGTTGACACTCAATATTAACCATCATAGTTTATATTACACTGGTTATAATATGGCATCTCAACCTTAATATTTTTCAACTGAAAAGACTCTTAACTATTATTTTATAAAAGCTTACAATTTTACAAATGGTGGAGACTCAGTATCATTCAACTAGCTATTACTCCTGGGACTCCCTCCCCAATTTTTTCCCTTTTTCTTTTCTTCCTTTCTTTCTTTCTTTTTTTTTTTTCTTTTTTTTTTTTTTTTTTTAAGAGTGGCTCACTACCTTCCCCCCCGGGCGGGAGTACAATGGTGCAATCTTGGCTCACTGCAATCTCTGTCTCCTGGGTTCAAGTGATTCTCCTGCCTCAGCCTTCCCAAGTATCTGGGACTACAGGTGCCTGCCACCATGCCCAGATAATTTTTATATTTTTAGTAGAGACGGTGTTTTGACATGTTGGCCAGGCTGGTCTCGAACTCTTGACCTCAGGTGATCCACCCGCATCAGCCTCCCACAGTGCTGGGATTACAGAAGTGAGCCACTATGCCCAGTCTCCTTTTTCTAGATTATATGTGTGTGTGTGTGTGTGTGTGTGTGTGTGTGAAGGACAGCAGAACAGGATCAAGGAGAAACTTTTTGAAGACACAATGTCAGAGACTCACAGCCAGATTAGTTTAAAAAAAAACTCACAGCCAGATAAGATCTACTGAATCAGAGACTCACAGCCATTGCTAATCTACAAGGAGGCCTATATTATCACAGGAAATTTAGCAAAATGTTTAGAATATTTTTAAACCAGAATTCCCGAAAGGTAAAAAGCTTACTAGAAATACTTTATCAAACTACTTGGATTGTTGGCGTGGGGGGCAGGAAGGGAGGAAGGGGAGTGGGAGTGAAAAAGGACTCAGAGATATTCATGGCGCATTCAGAAATAATAATGACCACTAAAGTCCTTCATCAGAGAGAGGACCCAACAATCTGCAGCTCTGTTGGTGGTGGTGGCTCTGTGTGTGTATGCAGTGTGTTTGTGTAAAGTTTGGGAATGAAACTAACCTGGCATACTAAGAAAGAAAGGTAAGGTTGGGGCTATTAACAACTGTCTTCATTTTTCACCTTAGCAGCCGCAGCAGCACCTCTTCAAACAAACAAACAAATAAACAAAAAAATACCATTTTAGGCATTTTATTTACCCGACCATAATATCAAACTATGAGGTATTCTAAGATACACATTTATCAGTTCGGATCTAGCTAGTATTGTGTAGTCTAAAAAGCTCTCCAGGTGGTCTGCATTGCACTCTTCCCCATAAAGGGAAAAACCATGATAGCAATACTTCCTAATTTTAATGTGTATACCAATGGCATGGGGGTTTGTTAAAATGCACATTCTGAGTTATAGGTCTGGGGCTAAGCCAGGGATTCTGTGCTTCTAGCATACTTCCTGCATGATACTGAGGCTGCTTGTCTGCAGACCACACATTGCTTAGTAAGGCCCCAGAACATCAAATATTCATCTGAACAAAGTAATATAAACATCCTCAGGTATTTCCTCCTTTTACACACTGTATTCCCAGCTTCAAGGCCTGTAGTTCTTTTTTCTCAGAGGGCCTGGAATTGGAAAAGAGATGAGGAATTAAGAGATCACAGCAGCCTGAGCTGCAAATCCTGCCTAGGAGTACACCTGTCCTTTGAGGCTCATTTCTCTTCATCCTTTCGCCTCTCTGTTTTTAGGTATCAAAGCTTGAAAGAGAGAAGACTCAAGAAGCGAAGAGGATTCGTGAGCTGGAGCAGCGCAAGCACACAGTGCTGGTGACCGAACTCAAAGCCAAGCTCCATGAGGAGAAGATGAAGGAGCTGCAGGCTGTGAGGGAGAACCTTATCAAGCAGCACGAGCAGGAGATGTCAAGGACGGTGAAGGTGCGCGATGGAGAGATCCAGAGGCTCAAGTCCGCTCTCTGTGCTCTCCGTGACGGCAGCAGTGACAAAGTAAGGACAGCGCTCACCATTGAGGCCCGGGAGGAGGCTCGGAAACTGTTTGATGCAGAGCGCCTTAAGCTCTTACAGGAAATTACGGACCTGAAAACGGCCAAGAAGCAGGTGGACGAGGCTTTGAGCAATATGATCCAAGCAGATAAAATCAAGGCTGGGGACCTTCGGAGTGAGCATCAGTCCCACCAAGAAGCCATCTCAAAGATCAAGTGGGAGTCGGAGCGGGATATTCGGAGACTGGTTAGTACAGTAATCCCACCAGACCCATGCAGAACCCTTCTCTTACAGGTTTCAGAGTGCCATGGGATTTGCTTCTTCATATGTTTTCTTGTCACTGGATTATAAACAGTGCCTACCTTTTGTCCAATGCTCTATCCAAGATAGATCAGTAGGTAGGTAGGTAGTTCAATAGAGAGATATGCTCAGGCCAAATTGAAATTGTAAAATGTAAGAGATTTTGGAAATCGCCTTTCTCATAAAAACTGGATTCTCCAAGGACCATATCTATTCAAGGACTCCTGTTTTCTTAGATATTTATAAAAATATTCTAAACCTTGGACGTTTCTAAAGTAGCATGTTTTCGTGGGCTTTTCATTTACATAGTTTCATTGTTTTATTTTTTAAAGAGAGGGTAGGAGAAGTTTCTATGACCTTCATGGTGGTCTGAAAATGGCAGCTACTTAGAACATCTTCAGTCTTTTTTTTTCCAGGAACTAGATACAAAACTATAAAAACCCCAGTCATTTTAACATAGATATTTTCCCCAAAGTGAACAGGGGTCATTTAAAACAGGAGCCATTATAATTTTTAAATTGATTTTCATCCCTAAGCATCTTGTTTGCAATTTATAGTTTCTAAGACTTAACTCAGCCCCTACAGAGTTGGGTCATTCCTTCCAACATGTATGACCAAAAACCAGATAGGCCTCTCAGTATGCTTAAATATAATACAAATATAATTATAATCTGAAAATTAGAGTGTCCTAGGTTGACCTTGTATACTTATTTTAGACTAAACAATTTTATGGTTATTTGCATTCAGATGCTTAATATCTGTTATATATCTCGTCACACTAACTATCACCTGTTAGAATGTACGTTATGCTTCTCTGGAAAAGGTTTTTTAGGAAAAACTATACTTTTCCTCTTTTGTCTTCCAGTTCTAAGCAATTACTTTCTGAGAATTCTGATTATGTTCCATGGGTGTTTTCTCTAGGCTTTTAAGTTCAAAGTGGTTACCATAGAGCATTTTTAAAAGCTAATGTTTAATTTTCTTTGTACTGTAATACAGTGTAACTGTAAAATACTGCCTTTGCCACACTTTCTGAATTCTTTATGTCAACTGATTCTATTGCACTGTTTGACAATAAAGACCAAACACAGTGCAGAAATATTGGTCTCTGCCCTGCATTTGGTTTTTGAAACCACGGTGGCTGATGAAGAAAGAATCAGGACTTCGAACTCTGGAGTTGGCAGGTTAAGTATTCAATGAAAAGGAAGGTTTGTATTAAATATTTTCATTTGTTGATGGTTTTCAATATAAAATCTGTGAGTGTATCCACTTGATATGCTAACTTTTTCCATGGCTTTATTTCACCTGCATATTGCTGAAATAGACATGAAATCCTTCTTAATAACAATGTGAAGGAGAGGGGCCAAGATGGCCAAATAGAAACAGCCCTGGTCTGCAGCTCTTAGTGAGACCAACACAGAAGGCAGGTGATTTCTGCTTTTCCAACCGAGGTACCCAGTTCCTCTCACTGGAACTGGTTTGGCAGTGGGTGCGACCCACAGAGAACAAGCAGTGCAGGGTGGGGACTTTGCTTCATGTGGGAAGTACACATAGCCAGGGGACCTCCTTCCCCCAGCAAAGGGAAGCTATGAGAGACTGTGCTACCTGCCGTGGGTATTACACTTTTCCCATGGATTTTTGCAATCCACAGATCATCACATTCCCTCATGAGTCTATACCACTAGGGTCCTGGCTTTCAAGTACAAATCTGGGTGGCTGCTTGACCAGGCTCTGTGCTGTAGGAGTTTTTTGTTTTTGTTTTTGTTTTCATACTCCAGTGGCACCTGGAACTCCAGTGAGTTCCAGGAGATTGAACCACTGTCCAATCAGTGGGGGCTGAAGCCAGAAAGTCAAGCAGTCTCACGCAGTGGAGTCCCAGTCCCACTCATGTGGAATCCAGCAAGCTAAGAACCACTGGCTTGAAATTCTCACTGCCAACACAGCAATCTAGAGTCAGCCGGGGATGATTGAGTTTGACTGGCGGAGGGGTGACCCTCTTTACTGTGGCTTTAGTTGGCGGTTTTCCCTTGACAGTGCTAAAGAGACTGGGAGTTTGGACTGGGCAGAATTCATCACAGCACAGCAAAGCAGCTGTGGTCAGACTGCTTCTCTAGAGTCCTCCTCACTGGGCAAGGCCTCTCTGCAGGAAATCTAGCAGCTCCAATCAGGGGCTTACAGACAAAACACTCATCTCCCTAGGACAGAGCACCAGAGGGGAGAGGTGGCTGTGGTTGCAGCTTCAGCAGACTTAATCTTTCCTGCCTGCCAGCTCTGAAGAGAGTGGCGAATCCTGACAGGGAGGTTCTTCCAGCACAGTGCACCAGCTCTGCTAAAGGACAGACTGCCTTCTCAAGCAGATCTCTGACGCTGTGTCTCCTGACTGTGAGAGAACTCCCAGAAGTGGTTGACAGACACCTCATACAGGAGAGCTCTGGCTGGCATCAGGCCAGTGCCTCTCTGAGATAAAACTTCCAGAGGAAAGAGCAGACAGCAAGTTTTGCTGTTCTGCAGTCTCCACTGGTGATACCCAGGCAATAAAGGTCTAACGTGGACCTCTAACAAACTCCAGTAGACCTGCAGAAGAAAGGCCTGACTTTTAGAAAAAAAAACTAACAACAACAAACAAAACTAAAAAAGCAACAACAACATCAACAAAGAGACCCCCCAAACCCCATCCAAAGGTCATTAGCCTTAAAGATTAAAGGTAGAGAAATCCACAAAGATGAGTAACAAACAGTGCAAAAACACTGAAAATCCCAAAAACCAGAATGTCTCTTCTCCTCCAAATGATTGCACTGCCTCTCCAGCAAGGACACAGAGCTGGATGGAGGACAAGATGGACAAATTGACAGAAGTAGGCTTCAGAAGGTGGGTAATTACAAACTCCTCTCAGTTGAAGGAGCATGTTCTAATCCAATGCAAGGAAGCTGAGAACCTTGATAAAAGGTTGCAGGAACTGCTACCTAAAATAACCAGTTTAGAGAGGATCATAAATGACCTGATAGAGCTGAAAAACACTCATGAGAACTTCATGAAACATACACAAGTATAAATAGCTAAATTGATCAAGCAAGAGAAAGGATATCAGAGATTGAAGATCAACTTAATGAAATAAAACATGAAGACAAGATTAGAGAAAAAAGAATGAAAAGGAATGAACACAGACTCCAAGAAATATGGGGCTACATGAAAAAGACCAAACCTACAATTGATTGGAGTACCTGAAAGAGATGGGGAGAATGGAACCAAGTTGGAAAACATACTTCAGGATATTATCCAGGAAACTTCCCCAATTTAGCAAGACAGGCCAACACTCAAATTCAGGAAATACAGAGAACATCACAAAGATACTCCATGAGAAGATCAACCCCAAGACACGTAATCTTCAGATTCTCCAAGGTCGACATGAAGGAAAAAATGTTAAAGGCAGCCAGAGAGAAAGGCCAGGTAACCTACAAAGGAAAGTCCATCAAACTAACAGCGGATCTCTCAGCAGAAGTCCTACAAGCTAGAAGAGAGTAGAAGCCAATAGTCAACATTCTTAAAGAAAAGAATCTTCAGCCCAGAATTCCATATCCAGCCAAAGTTTTGTAAGTGAAGGAGAAGCAAAATCCTTCCCAGACAAGCAAATGCTAAGTGATTTTATCACGACCAGGCCTGCCTTGCAAGAGCTCTCGAAGAAAGCACTGAATATGGAAAGAAAAAAGCAGTACTTGCCACTGCAAAAACACACCAAAATATAAAAACCAATGACACTATGAAGAAACTGCGTCAACTAGTGTGCAAAATAACCAGCTAGCATCATGATGACAGGATCAAATTCACACATAACAATATTAACCTTAAATGTAAATGGGCTAAATGCCCCAATCTGGGGCAAATTGGATAAACGTCAAGCTCCATTGGTGTGCCGTATTCAGGAGACCCATCTCATGTGCAAAGACACACATAGGCTCAAAAAAAAGGGATGGAGGAATATTTAGCAACCAAATGGAAAGCAGGAAAAAGAAAGGGTTGCAATCCTAGTCTCTGACAAAATAGACTTTAAACCAACAAAGATCAAAAAGATAAAGAAGGGTGTTACATAATAGTAAAGGGATAAATTCAACAAGAAGAGCTAACTATCTTAAATATATTGCACCCAATACAGGAGCACCCAGATTCATAAAACAGGTTCTTAGAGACCTACAAAGAGACTTAGACTTCTACACAATAATAGTGGGAGACTTTAACACTCCACTGTCAATATTAGACAGATCAATGAGACAGAAAATGAACAAGGATATTCAGAACTTGAGTTCGACTCTGGATTAAGCATTCCTAATATAACAGAACTCTCCACCCTAGATCAACAGAATACACATCCCTCTCATGCCACATGACACTTATTCTAAAATCGACCACATAATTGGAAGTAAATCACTCCTCAGCAAATGCAAAAGAACTGAAATCACAACAAACAGTCTCTCAGACCACAGTGGAATCAAATTAGAACTCAGGATTAGGAAACTCACTCAAAACCACACAACTACATGGAAATTGAACAACCTGCTCCTGAATGACTCCTGGGTAAATAATGAAATTAAGGCAGAAATCAGGAAGTTCTTTGAAACCGATGAGAACAAAGAGACAATGTACCAGAATCTCTGGGATACAGCTAAAGCAGTGTTAAGAGAGAGATTTATAGTGCTAAATGCCCACATCAGAAAGATGGAAAGATCTCAAATCGACACCCTAACATCACAATTAAAAGAACTAGAGAATCAGGAGCAAACAAATCCAAAAGCTAGCAGAAGACAAGAAATAACTAAGATCAGAGCAGAAATGAAGGAGATGAAGACAAGAAAAACCCTGCAAAAAAATTAATGAATCCAGAAGCTGTTTTTTTTTTTTTTGAAAAAATTAACAAAATAGACCACAAGCAAGACTAATAAGGAAGAAAAGAGAGAACCAAATAGATACACACTAAAAAGTGATAAAGGAGATATCACCACTAACGCATTGAAGTACAAACTACCATCAGGGAATGCTATAAACACCTCTATGCAAATAAACTAGAAAATCTAGAAGAAATAGATAAATTCTTGGACACATACATTCAACAAGACTAAACCAGGAAGAAGTTGAATCCTTGAATAGACCAATAACAATTTCTGAAATTGAGGCAGTAATACATAGCCTACCAACCAAAAAAGAAGCCCAGGAGCAGACAGATTTATACTCCAATTCTACCAGAGGTACAATGAGGAGCTGGTACCATTCCTTCTGAAACTAATCCAAACAATTGAAAAGGAGTGACTCCTCCCTAACTCATTTTATGGGGCCAGTATCATCCTGATACCAAAATCAAGCAGAGACAACATAAAAAGAAAACATCAGGCCAATATCCCAGATGAACATCAGTGTGAAAATCCTCAATAAAATACTGGCAAACTGAATCCAGCAGCAGCACATCGAAAAGCTTATCCACCACAATTGTGTCAGCTTCATCGCAGGGATGCAAGCCTGGTTCAACGTATGCAAATCAATAAACGTAATCCATCACACAAACAGAACCAATGACAAAAACCACATGATTATCTCAATAGATGCAGAAAAGGTTTTTGATAGAATTTAACATCACTTTATGTTAAAAACTCTCAGTAATCTAGGTTTTGATGGAATAGATCTCAAAATAGTAAGAGCTATTTATGGCAGACCCACAGCCAATATCATACTGAATGGACAAAAGCTGGAAGCATTCCCTTTGAAAACCAGCAAAAGACATGGATGCCCTCTCTCACCACTCCTAGCCAACATAATATTGGAAGTTCTGGCCAGGGTAATCAGGCAAGGGAAAGAAATCAAGGATATTCAAATAGGAAGAGACAAAGTGAAATTGTCTCTGTTTGCAGGTGAGGTGATTCTGTATTTAGAAAACCCCATCATCTCAGCCCAAAATTCCTTAAACTGATAAGCAACTTCAGCAAATATTCAGGATACAAAGTCAATGTGAAAAAAATCACAAACATTTCTGTAATTTCTATACACCAACAAGAGGCAAGCAGAGAGCCAAATCATGAATGAAATCCCATTCACAATTGCTACAAAGAGAATAAAATATCTAGGACTACAGCTTACAAGGGACATGAAGGACCTCTTCAAAGAGAACTACAAACCACTGCTCAAGGAAATAAGAGAGTACACAAAGAAATGGAAAAACATTCCTTCCTCATGGATAGGAAGAATCAATATCATGAAAATGTCCATACTACCCAAAGTAATTTATAGATTCAGTGCTATTCCCATCAAACTACCATTGACATTCTTCACAGAATTTTACAAAACTACTTTAAATTTCATATGTAACCAAAAAGAGCCCATATAGCCAAAACAATCCTAAGTAAAAAGAACAAAGCTGGAGCCATCACACTGCCTGACTTCACACTATACTACAAAGCTACAGTAAACAAAACAGCATCATACTGGTACCAAAACAGACATACAGACCACTGGAACAGAACAGAGACCTCAGAAATATCACCACACATCTGTAACCATCTAATCCTTGACAAACCTGACCAAACAAGCAATGAGAACAGGATTCCCTACTTAATAAATGTTTCTGGGAAAACTGGCTAGCCATGTGCAAAAAACTGAAACTGAACCCTTTCCTTACACCTTATACAAAAATTAACTCAAGATGGGTTAAAGACTTAAATGTAAAACCCAAAACGATAAAATCCTAAAAGAAAACCTAGGCAATACCATTCAGGACATTGGCGTTGGCAAAAACTTCATGATGAAAACACCAGAAGTAATTGCAACAAATGCCAAAGTTGACAAACAGGATCTAATTAAACTAAAGCGCGTCCGCATAGCAAAAGAAACTAGCATCAGAGTGAGCAAGACAATCTGTAGAATGGTAGAAAATTTTACAATCTACTCTTCCGACAGAGGTCTAATATCCAAAATCTATAAGGAACTTAAACAAATTTACAAAAAACAAAAAACAAAAAGTAGGCAAAGGAGATAGACACTTCTCAAAAGAAGACATTTATGTGGCCAACAAACATGTAAAAAAAAGCTCATCATCTCTGATCATTTGAGAATTGCCATTCAAAATTACAGTAAGATACCATCCCACATCAGTCAGAATGCCAAGCATTAAAAAGTCAAGAAACAATAGACGCTGGTGAGGCTGTGGAGAAATAGAAACACTTTTTGCCCTGTTGGTGGAAATGTAGATTGGTTCAACCATTGTAGAGGACAGTGTGATGATTCCTCAGGGATCAAGAACCAGAAATACCTTTTGACCCAGCAATCCCATTACTAGCCATATGACTATGACCAAATTTTTAATAAATCATTCTACTAAAAGACACATGCACATGTATGTTTACTGCAGCATTATTTACAATAGAAAGACATGGAACCAACCCAAATGTCCATCAGTAATATAGACTGGATAAAGAAAATGTGGTACACATACACCACGGAATACAATTCAGCCATTAAAAAGAATGAGATCATGTCCTTTGCAGAGACATGAATGAAGCTGGAAGCCATCATCCTCAGCAAACTAACACAGGAACAGAAAATCAAACACTGCATGTTCTTGCTCATAAGTGGGAGTTAAACAATGAGAACACATGGACACAGGGAGGGGAACAACACACACCGGGGCCTGTCCAGGGTAGGGAACAAGGGGAGGGAAAGCGTTGAGACAAATACTTAATGCATGTGGGGCTTAAAACCTGGATGATGGGTTGATAGGTACAGCGAGCCACCATGGCACATGCATATCTATGTATCAAAGTTGCGTGTTCTGCATGTGTATTACAGAACTTAAAGTAAAATAAAAATTAAAATTAAAAAGAGTAAAATCGGAGCCACCTGATGAGTGGCTCACAAACTGCATGAACACAGAATAACATAGGAAACATTTTCGATAGTATGGATATACGCATCTTCATTGTTTTCTTCTGTGCCTTCCCCCACCCCAAGCTTCGTTTTTGGGACTGGAAGGGAGAAAAATAGGAGCTTTTCTGTCTAGAAAATTTCCTCAAAGAATTCTGGTATACTCTTTCCCGTCTAAGAATAGAGCCTTGGTGGATTTTCAGTATTTTGAGGTCAGAGTCCATGCTCATAACCATTATGCAATAAAGGTTTCTCAATACTAATTATTATATATTCCATAGGAAACCACTTTGGGAAATGCTTAAAGTATATGAATAATCTTAAAGCTAGTATAGCATAGTGCCTAACACAATGGGCTCTGCAGTCAGAAGAATCCATTAAAAATAAGGCTTCACAACTTACTAGCCATATGGCTATGACCGAATTTTTAAGCTTTCAGGTCCTCAGTCATCATCTGTAAAATGATGACGACTGAACCTACTGAATAGGATTCTTATAAAATAGGGTAGATTAAGCTTTGAGTATAGTACCCTGAATATAGTAAAAGACCGATGAATTTCAGCTATAATGATGGTGATGATGAGGATGAATGTGGACGGTAATGGAATGCTTTCTCAATAAGTTCAGCAAGGTGAGTACATAAAAAACAACTAGAGCTATGTTAACCTGTAAATGAAAGTAATGCTCTAGATGACAAGTCTGACAAATGAACATACTGCTCAGTTAAGCAAAACACTGGTCTCAAGTCGTTTACAAGGAGGCACAAACCAGATACAATGCTATTATTCCCAATTAACAAGATAATATTGAATTCTCACCAAGTTACCAGATGATGTTACAAGATCATGAAGAATTTAGCCCAAAGCTCTTTCAGAATTGACCTAAAATTTAAGTATATGACTCAAAGGCAGTAGTTCACAGATACTTATATGTGGAACATATGTGACTGTGTAACACCATTTCTGTTGCAAATATTTTTTTTTCTGGTCTAAGAGCACACAGCAAAGAAAGATTTATACAAAATTATTTGTTTTGTATAAGAAGACACTTTTAGAAAAAGCAAAACAGCGTAATGTTGTTTGTATTAAATGTCTTTTCCTTATCTCCATTTTGAATAAACACATAGAATATAGTGAAATGAGAAGAAAGGTTTCACCCAATGGCTATGATCTCTTTAAAAATTGTTCATAGACATTCACTTTATTATCCCTTATCCTAGGATGGCAAAAAGGTTTCATTCTAAAGGAACTCAAATCAATTGGTATTGAAGCCTGTGGTCTTTAGTCGAGAAATTCTTCTGAGGCCGTGCCTAGGCTTAGCAGAAATGCATATCGGAATCAATAAATACATCCCACACATGTGGGAGGGAAAACAGGGGTTGACATTGCCAGATATTTTCTATCCGTTTTAGTCCCAACCATGATTTTCTTATAGTAATGGTAAAATGGTTGCTAAGATGGCTGCTCTGAAACACAAGTGAGAATAGAAAGAGATATAACACATGAACTGTGGAAGGATCTCCCTCCAAATCCATCACCTGAATGGAAGCATGTTAGTCTTGGAAAATGATTAGGCCACTGGGAAGTCTGAAGTTTCTTCAGTTACAAATGATCACCTACTAATAAGAGCAATGACTATTATGATTGAATTTGAATGCTCATTTTTCCAAAGAAGAAGTGACATCAAAAAATGTCCTAGGAAACATTGTAGTGGAATATTTAGTATTCATCTTTATTAAAATTAATGACCATTTTAAAGTTAGACATATCTAATCAACCAAGACTAATTCAAACAATATATTGAATTAAAACATCTTCACAGGATATACTAGGGAGAAAAAACATTACTCTCCTTAACACCAAGTCAACCCAGGATACTTCTTTATTACACAATGTTGCCTCATCTTATATGTGAAATCAATACACTTGTCATATTCATGATTTTTTTTCTGTATCAATCAGATGAAAGAAGTTAAATGTATACCATTATAAAAATGTATTTCTTTACAGCATTGTTACATAAAATGTCCCGGGTCTCATTTAATTCAGATGGATGAAATCAAAGCCAAGGACAGGATCATCTTTTCCCTGGAAAAGGAACTGGAGACCCAAACAGGCTATGTACAGAAACTCCAACTTCAGAAGGAGGCTTTGGACGAACAACTCTTTCTGGTCAAGGAGGCTGAGTGCAACATGAGCAGCCCGAAACGAGAAATTCCGGGAAGGGCAGGTGATGGTTCCGAACACTGCAGCAGTCCTGTAAGTCCAGCCTAGCTGAAGTTAAGAACACACAAGTCATCTTTTATTTAGCTCCCAAGCTTTACCTTTCACTTAAGCTCTTTTCTTGGTTACTACAAAGAAATCAATCTACCTTCTACTATCAACTCAGCTCGTACCTTGGGAACAGAGTTTTCAAAACTCATAGATGACTAAGTGGTCTGCACTGCCTTAGCAGATCACATGAGACTTACAGATTTCTTTAAATCCTTCCTAGAATTTTTCTAGTCAGGCAATATCTATTTAAACTTAAGTCTATTATGAGAAACACAAATTAGATGAAAATATTTTGCCTCTTGCCTAGACTGGTAATCTTCCCTTTTGTGAACAATTGGGTTGGAAATTGATACAGATGGTTGTCATCTACAGGGCACAAAACGTATAAGTGCATAAAAGACAAAAGCATTTATAAACTTCATCTAAAGACTTATTGAACTTACTACGTACTTCCCTGGGTTTTCATCATTTTATATGAGAAATTATTTTCAGAAGTGCAGCAATAGAAATGGTCTTATATGCAGTTGGCTATAACGCTTATACCTTTCCAACTATTTAGCTATTATAATGATGGAAATGTATTATTTAGAAACAGAGATGGGTTCCAAAGTATTACTGAGAACTAAGTAATGAATAATTTATGAATTGGTATTCAGGAGATATATATATATATCTTAGCAGGTCAGAATCTTTGGTTCAAATCCCAAATCTGTCATTTACTGTGTGTCCTTAGGCAAACAACCACCATTCAGTTTTCTCATCTGTAAAACAGAAGCTATAGTAGTACCTCGTAAGGCTGATCCAATGATTAGAAGACATAATATGTAAAACGTTGAGCATGATGTCTGTTACATAGCATTTAATACATATTCGTTATTGATCTTTTGATATTAGCCACAAGACCTTAAAGGACTTATTATATACCTAAATTTTACCTATTCTGCTAAATCCTTTAGGATATTGTGAATGTAGGGATATAATGTGTTTGAAACTGCTTTGTCAACAGTACAGCATTATCAAAATGTAAGAAGATAATATAATTGCCAGCACATAACAGTAACAGTCTTATGTAATTCTACAATATGAAATTAAGCCATGAATGCCCTGTGTAAGGTGATTCATAGCAATTCCGCCAGTGGAGAAGCCAGTTTCATTGGGCAGAATATACTAATGAGGCCTATCCTATAAACTACTGCCCTTTACACATGAAGGTAATACACCAACATTTTCTCACTTTGACCTTCTTCTTCAGGAGTATGAAGGAATTGGCAATACTCATCCCTACTTCCTACTCTCTCCCCTCTGTGGCTAATGGTAATAGCAGGACAACTATCTAAGCTGTGGGAAGCAATGTGTGGTCATGACACAAGGGATGCCCTTTGAACCCTATGTTCTCACAGCATGACCTTGGTCTCATAGCACACAGCTCTGATAGGTTGATCCAATGCTCTGACTCCCCCTTCCCTGAGTCCTGGTTCCAGGGAGTATCTACCACATTGAATTCATTTGCAATTACAACCCGGCATGGTCTTCAACCCAAGTGGTAAATATTGAAAGTCATAATAGGGTAAATATTTACTCTTTGGATAAAAGAATATTTTATTCTCACTTCAGGAATCAGGTAAGAGAGCTGAGCCTATTACTTTTATGAATAATAAGTGATATTTCCAAACTTTGCAAACAATGTTGTTGAAGAATACCCATTTTAATTTTTTGGTGTAGGATTTGCGAAGAAACCAAAAGAGAATAGCTGAATTGAATGCCACTATAAGAAAATTAGAAGACAGGAATACCTTGCTTGGAGATGAACGAAATGAACTGGTGAGATATACTAAAATGTTTTGTTGCTGTTGTTGTTAAGCGTTATGTTACAGAATTACGTACTATGTTATAGACATGTACCATAATAGAAAAAAGTGTACAAATAACAAAGATACCATTCAATAGATATTCATAAAGCGGCACAATCAAAAAACCACCATCCAGATGAATAAGTGGAAGATTATAAGCATCTCAAACCCCTGCTTCTTATGACCCTTCCCTATCAGCATCCTATTAAACTTAACCACTATTCTGACTTCAATCACCATATATGTCTATCACCATTTAAATTCTTTTTTAAATGGAATCATACAATATTTTCTCTTTTTTGTCTGACTTCTTCTGCTTCTTTATTCAGCCTTATGTTTGTGAGATTTATCCATTGTGTTGCATGTAGAATTCATTCATTTTCATTTCTCTATAGCATTCAAATAATATATCACAATATACTCATCCATTTTATCGTTAATGGACATTTCTGTTGTTCCTTAAAATTTCTGAGCTGTTTTGAGAAGAACAGTGCTTCTACATGTCTTTTGTAAAAAAATTTGCCCATTTCTTGTGGAATATACAGAGGAGTAGAATTACTGGATGTTAGAGTATGGGTGTGTGTAGTCAGCATCAGTAGTTATTACCAAACGGTAAGTTGTCACAATTCCCTCCAATCATGAATGAAAGTGGTAGTTTCTCCATATATATGCCAACACAGAAAGATAATTGTTAGTCATGTTGGTGGATGTAAGGTATACTCTTACACCTTACATTATGGTTTTAATTTTCCTCATGATTAAGAAGGCAGGATAACTTTTCGAATATTTACTAGCCTTTCAGATATTTTTTATAATTTGCCCTTAGCCTTTTGCCCATTTTCTGTTATGCTGCCTTTATTGTTTTAGTTACTATCAGGATTTTTTGTCATTACTTCTGGTACATTTGCATTTAAAATATCTTGCTCTATGGCTTACATTTTTTACTTTAATAGAGCTATTCACATAAAAGAGTTATTTTCAGTCTCCTTTTTTCAAATATATGTATTTTAGGCTGTAATTGTCTCTCTAATCCTTGCATTAGTATGATATATTGTTATTTCTTTCAAAAATTTTATCTAATGTCATATAATTTCTCCTTTGATATATGGGTCACTGGGAAGCATATGGCTTAATTTCAAAACATTTAGAGGTTTTTGAGTTATCTTTCTGGTATCAATTTCTACCTTAATTCTACTATAGTCAGAGAATGTACTTTGTATATTTTATTCCTTCAAAATTTGTTGAGATTTGCTTTATGAGCTCTACATACAGTCAGTTTTAGAAATGTTACATGTTTACATGAAAAGAAGGCATACTCTATAATTATTAGTTGCACTTTGATTGAAGTTTGTTAATAACCTTGTTTAAAATTTTCTAAATTCTTACTGATATTTTTGTCTGCTTGTTCTCCCAATAGATTTGTCTATATCCTTCTCAGTTCTTTCAATTTTACTTTATATGCATATAGAACATATAATATATATTTATAATATATAATATATTAGATATTATGTTACTAGATGAATATAAATTAATAATTGTTGGTTTTTTTGTGTGTATTGACACTTTAATCATTACGCATTTTTCTTCTCTGGTAGCACTTCTTGACTTAAAGTCTTTGTTATTAGTTGAACTGTATCAGATTTTTGTTTTAGTGTTGGCGTGAATGTATATGTGTATGTGTGTATATATACATATGTATGTACAACTGTATACACATACATATATACATACATATTCACATACACATATATACACATACATACTTTTTTTTTTCCAACCTTTCTGTATTTTATTTAAGGTGTACCTTAAAAGGAACATTGTGTTGGGTATTGCGGAACTATTGTTATTGATGTATGATATAATAAATTATAGATATTTTCTTTGTGCATATTTGCATTTTCTATGAGCAGCATTAAGTAAATTTAAATATTTAAAACTCACATCATTGACCTTCAAAAGAGACAGATGAAAATAGTGAACCTATTAGAATAACTTATTGTACTCCTATGTATACAATATTTAATATGAATGCTTCAGGCACTAAGGACTAAGGCATTAATGCTTCAGGACTAAGTCAGATTATTTATAAAAATAAATCCAGTTTTGTCCTTTAATATGAAATGGAGTTCTTAAATTGAGATTGAGATGGATTTGTGGAAGTGCTGCTTAAGAATCATAAGATTAGATTTTACAAATATTCATAATTAGCTAAGTCTCCTACCTCAGCACTTCCCAAAATCTTAGATGCCCAAGAACAGGAGTGAATACTTTAAAAAGTCTTCTCAAATATTTCTGATACACCCCTCCTTTTTCCTTGCCCCTCTCCCAATACATGTTCAATTTCAGAATCATTGGTATGAAAAGAATAAGCTAATCATGAGAAGCTGAAAATGAAAATCCATTATGTACAGGATGATTATGAAATATACAAATAGGAGAGGTTTATAAGTAAAGGGAAGGACTATTAATTATCACCCCAAGACAATTTCCATAAAGTTAAACCAGTGGTTCCCAACTACAAGTGATTTTGGCAATATCTGATGTTTTGGTGGTCACAATCAGCAGAGCATTACTGGCATCTAACAAGCAGAGGCCAAGGATGGTGCTAAACATCCACCAATGCACCGGACACCTCACATCAAAAAAACATCTGGCTCAAAAAGTCACAGATGCCAAGACTGAGAAACCCTGCTTTAGACTAACCAAGCAAATGAGAGTATGATCACTCTTAATCATGGCTGGATAACAATGCAATCATACTTTACTAAGCGTGGGGAGAATTCTATATCCTTAAACACAAGCATTGATAGAGTTCAAACTTATGTGGGGTTTTGTTCTCAATAAAACTTCTTTTAAAATAACAACTGTAGTGTGAGTCAGGAGATCTCCACAAGATCTCTGAAAGAATGACCTTTGGATTCAGGTCCTGGTCACAATACTTAGTGACCTGTGTGATTTAGGTGAGCTCCTTTATCTCTGAGCTAACGAAGGTAATTCCGGGTGCAGAGATTGCAGCTGAGCCCAGTGGGGTAACGGGTGGGGGAAGCGAAAGAAAGCAAGGAGAGCAGGTCCTCTGGAGCATTTCCAAAACCAGTGTCTGCAGTACTTTCCTTAAGATAATGAATTGATATGGGGTTACGAAGGCTGTGATGAAAAGCCATTAGTGAAAACTGAAAAGAAGGCCATCGGTCTGTTAAATGAAGGACTGAAATGTCAGTCGTCAGTCCTGAGCCACACAGTGAAGCAGACAATGCCCGCTCCAGAGATGCTTTCACTCCCACCACTTTCTTCCCTGGCCCCATGTCCCTCAAACACAAGACACAAATCTAACTTATTTCTTCCCAGTTAAAACGCGTGCGGGAAACCGAAAAGCAATGTAAACCTCTCCTGGAAAGGAACAAGTGCCTCGCCAAGAGAAACGATGAACTGATGGTGTCCTTGCAGCGCATGGAAGAAAAACTAAAAGCCGTTACCAAGGAAAATTCAGAAATGGTGTGTATCACAGACTGCGAAACTGCAGCTTCCTTGATTATATTACCCCAATAACCGGACTTAGTGCTATTTCTCAGCTTCTTTTTAGAATACAATGCTATTTGGATTTTTCCTTACGTAAGCAAGGAAGCTTCAAGAAAGAAAGCATGAGAAGTTTGCTGGCTCTGAATTTTATGAGAGTTCTATATTTGTAAAACCGTAGGAGTGCTTCCAGGAATTTGCACGCTTTCCAAAAGCTCGGAAGTGGAGAAGGAAAGCTTTTGACATAGCCACAGAAACCTTCCATGACTTCACTAACATGCTATTTACAGATCTATACCCTAGGCACATCTTGTCTTCTAAGATTGTGCATGATAGTTGGAAAATGGATACCATTACTTCTATTATATATGGACAAGTGATATGCTAACGTACTTCTTAATAGACTTTCAATACATCTATAGAGATCTTCAGACAATCTCCAATGATGTTGATTTATTATGCCAGATAAAATGTGCTTGAGGATTTAGTTGGTGTGTGTGTATTCAGGCTGCATAATTTTCACATTTAGCTGGAGCATCATAAACTTTCTACAGATATTTTAACAACCAAAGTTTAAGATTTTTAAAAACTTCACCTGTACTTTCTTTTTTTCCAATTCAGAGAGAAAAAATAACATCCCATCCACCCCTGAAGAAATTAAAATCTCTGAATGACCTTGACCAAGCTAATGAAGAGCAAGAAACAGAGTTCCTAAAACTTCAGGTCATTGAGCAACAGAATATTATTGATGAGCTCACAAGGGTATGTGTCAATCAATCTGTAAACCCTAAGTTGTTCCCAAGGACAAGTAGCCAACAAAATGTATACTGAAATCAGTTAATTTTAGATTAACTCGAGAGGCCCAAGTTCATATGTTCAATATGTAATTTTGTTCTAGAGGTTACGTTCCAATATTTTATATTGTTAAACCACTTCACAACTTTTAAATTATAATCCTTTGTTAACTAATTTGGTAGCACAAATAATAACAGCAAAGTACATTAAAAGAACTTTTAAATGTGTTGTGGTATAAGTTTGTAGGTAAGGTGGGTGTGTCTTGTAATTGCCTTCCAGTAGCAGGATCCTGAGGCTCAGAGACTTAATATGTTGTCTATGACAACAACATCACATATATCTCTTGTTTCCCGGGTCACAATTCAGTGTCTAGCATATAGTTACAGTTTAATAAATACTTATTGGATAAACAGCAACAATATAATTATATAGCAGAACAAAAATTTCAGTCCAGATTTTCTGATCATTACCTGCTGAGTGGGTGGAAGAGCTATTACTTTCATCCGAGTTTGGCTGAGGTTTATGTTACTAGTAAGGATGCACTAAGACCTCTGATGCCTTTGGGTTTTCTTTTTTGCCTCTCCATCTTTGTTCTGTGAATGACATCTTTGGTTGCTCTCACTTCAGAACCAGTCAAGGCCTAAAGATTTGAATAGCAAGGGGGGAGTTAGGCAATAGTCACCAGAGTCAGGTGAGAAAATTGATTCACTACCACTGAGGGAAAGAAAGGGTATAGCTTCTGTTTATAATTACTTATGATTCATCCTTTTTAAAATTTCTGTGTTGACTATATGTTATAATGAATACATTAGATTAGGAAGGTAATTTAAATATATAATTATATTAGGGGTCTCTAGAGGAACGACTAATAGGATAGATGTATACATAAAGGGGAATTTATTAAGGAGTATTAATTCACACGATCACAAGGTGAGGTCCCACAATAGGTTGTCTGCAAGCTGAGGAGCAAGGAAGCCAACCTAAATCCCAAAGCTGAAGAGCTTAGAGTCTGATGTTCCAGGGCAGGAAGAAATAAGAGAAAGATGTAGGCTAGGAGACTTAAACAGTCTAGTGTTACCATGTCCTTCTGCCTGCTTTTTAATCTGGCCAACGGCCCAGCTGGCAGCTGATTAGACAGTGCCCACCCAGATTGAGGGTGAGTCTCCCTTTCCCAGTCCACTGACTCAAATGCTAACCTCCTTTGGTAACACCCTCACAGACACACCTAGAAACAATACTTGTATCCTTCAGTCCAATGAAATTAACGCTCACTATTAATCATCACAAAAATGTATACATTGTAAAAGTCTCATATATGGAGGTGGCATTTTTACTCTTAAAGGTGAAAAAAATTTAAAAAGCCTAAACACCACTGGATTAAATCAGATTACTTATTAAATGTGGGCTCCCTGTTTTCCTCATTTCATTTTCACATCCTAGTAGCTTATAAATTTTACAGATTCATGAGCCCGGGAACTTGCCTGGCTTTGAGTATCCTGAGATTAAGCTGTAAGCTTTTTATAGAATCTTGGGCTATTTAGGTATGCTCATCAGACTTTCCAAAAGACACTCTCTCTAGTTTGAATTTGTACAGTAAATACATGGAGTACTTAGTGAATAACCCCAAATTCCCTGGATATCTCCATTCACAGCAACAATAAATCATGAAATTGATCAATATTTCTAGGCATTCTTTGAGATTCCCAGAAAATTTTTTAAAAACTGAAGACAAAACAGAAACACTAAATGGCTCCAACCCACTAGACACTCTGTTCCCTGTCCTGTTTTCAGGGACTGCAGGTGAGAACAAGGATCCAAAAATAGGCAAAAGACAGTTTTCCATGTATTTCAAATGACTAAATGAAAAGAATACGGTTTTACTTTATCGTGAAATGATATTTTTTAACATAAATTTAAAGTAATTCTGGATCTAGGAGAACTAATGTACTGTGCTTTGGAGGAATATGAGGAACTATTTTCATAGCTACTTGATTTTCAAGCACAAAACAAAGGATTCTGATTAGGAACACAGTACACTTTCTGATCATGAAGTTCCTTGATCCACCTAAGTCATCAGGAATAGTTGTAGAAGATTCTTATTTTGAATATATTTAAGTGTCAATCCCAAAAGTTGCCAAAATTTAAAAAACAAAGTCTTATTCTATTCCAAATATAATGCCTTAAGGGAAAAAACACTGTATTTGGGGAAAAAAAAAAAAAAAAAAAAAAAAAAACCTGTAGAGAAACATGTACCAATTCGGGAACTGAAAAAATCTTTCATTTGTTTTCCAGGACCGAGAAAAGCTCATCCGTAGAAGAAAACATAGAAGAAGCTCCAAGCCAATTAAGGTAATAAGAAATTGAGGTTATCAGGCATTCACCACAAACAGCCAGAGATATGAGTCTTGGCATGGAATCTTCCTGCAAAGATGTGATGAGTCACATGTTCCCGAATTGTTGCAGCAAACCATGGGCTTTATTTGCTAGAAGAAAATCTTTTCTGTTCACATTTCTTCGAAGTCTAAAAATGATTCTGTTGTAAATTTTAACCTGAAAGGGTTTGCTTTAATATGATTTTCTCTAAATGGAGATGCCACTAGGTTTGACTTAGAAAAGATTACCTGGCAAGCTGGAGAGTCATACTCCAAGAATATTCAAGAAATACACATGATCTGATGTCTCCCACTGAACAGTATAAATACATTTTTATTATTCATTCAGACAATATTATTGATAATGATCCTCCCAATCCACCAATATCTGTATAGCCTCTTATAATCCACAAAGTTTTGTTATTTAGTCTGTTTGATTTTTATTTTTGTTTTTACTAAGTATACCATTTGTTTTTGATGTGGACTTGGATGACAAGACTTAAGATTTGATCATCTCCATCACGTAGACACCTGAGTTTTCAAAGTCCTTTGGTCATCATTTAAATACAGGAAAGAGTAAACCACATTATCTCATCGTGATATAACATGTCAGGAGGCTGAGGCAGGAGAATTGCCTGAACCCAGGAGGTGGAGGTTGCAGTGAGCCGAGATCGCGCCATTGCACTCCAGCTTGGGTAACAAGAGCGAAACTCCGTCTCAAAAAAAAAAAAAAAAAAAAAAACATGTAATATGAAAGAGGCTTCAGTGTTTCTATGAAAAATGCTAAATGAATTTTTCTTGAAGATGTCAGAAGTGAAATCATATTAGAGAAACACTTACTGGAATTATGTTCGTGCCTAATGTTTTTATTTCAACAAAGAAGCATTGGGGATCCATGTCTTCTATGTTCGTTTACATGTATGCCAGTTGACAGTATTTTAACATTTAACTTTCCCTACTTTTAGTTGTGTCAGTAAATACGTACTTTCCCTCCATTTAGAGGCCTGTTTTAGACCCGTTTATTGGCTATGATGAGGACTCTATGGATTCAGAAACATCATCCATGGCCTCATTTAGAACAGACAGAACACCAGCTACTCCCGATGATGACTTGGATGAAGTAAGCTTTTTCTACGTCTCTAGCCGTGGGTGATGTTGTCACCAAATCTTTGATTCAAGTGGGAAGAAAAAGCATTCTGCTTTTTATCTCCTTTGTATAAACAGCACAAAGTTTATACAAAGTATAAACCATATCTCATAATGGTGATAATAGTAACCAATTTTGAGACTGTGCATTGTTATCTCTTGAAAACAGGCAAACCTTTTAGAAATGTTTCTACAGTTCAGCTCTCTAATTTGAAGATGTTTTTCAAAACGAAAGTTACTTTCCAAGATTCTTTATCTAGGGAAGGTAGGAACCACAGAGCAAGCTTAGCAGGCTTTTGGATGTAGTCTGAGACACTCTTGAGCGAAGTGTGCTCTGTGGATCACCCTCATCAGAATGATCTGGAGGGCTCAGTTACAATGAAAATTCCTGGACCCTACCATGCAACTCCTGGCTTGAGATTTTAAGAGTGAAACACTCCAATTTTCATTCTTTCCCAAAAATTCCCTGTTGATTATGTTATAGCCTGAAGTTTAAGATCTAAAGCAATAAAACAACTTTCATGATTTATCTAGGGGGAAAAAAACAAGTTGTTGGAGATGAACATATTGAAAAGAAATAAGAGTAAAATTCTAGGGTATCATTTCCTCAAATTTAGGACCAAAATCTGGATATGACGTTTTCTCATTTGGAACCCAAATGATTAACAATGAGAAATGTATCAAATGGTAAATGCTTCTTTTACTAAAATAAATATTTACGTATTTCTGCAGTGTCCAACTTGAAACTATTACAGTATTTGTGCCCAGATATATACTTCAGACCTAAAAATAAAATCAAATAGACTGTCAAACAAACCTTTCACTTGTTTAAAAAGTAGTCAAATGTTAGTATTTCACATTGAACACAGGACTTGAACATAACACAATTGTTTTGGCGCTTTTCTTTTAACCTCAAGAGTTTAGCAGCTGAAGAATCTGAACTAAGATTTCGACAATTAACAAAAGAATATCAGGCCCTCCAAAGAGCATATGCACTCTTACAGGAGCAGACAGGAGGCATCATTGACGCTGAACGAGAAGCCAAGGTTAGTGTGTATCTGTGAGAGTGCTCTGAATTAGTGTGCAGCAGTCACAGCATAAAAGTATCATGGACATAAAAATATCAATAGGACAGCTTTCCCTGTACTCTTCTCTCCTTTGCAATTTTTGGACTGGTATAGCTTTTATGTCAACAAACCTTGAAGCCAGATATATTAGAACCAGCTTAGATCAGTGCTTTTGTTCCTTTAAAGATAGTTGAGTCCATAGTTCTTATTCTTGCTATTTGAAAACATACATTTTCAAAGCTAGACAATATTGGATTTTGTTAAGCCATTTTTTTAGTTTCTTGCTTAAAATTACTTTTTTATCTTTCAAAAGCAATAGTGAGCCAATTTCTTCTCTTAGTTATTAAGTGAACAGCATTTATGTTTGACAGCTTATCAGAATTTTCACAGACAATATCTCACTTAACCCTTGTGACAGCCCCCAAGGCAGATATTTTACAAAAGAGCAATTTGAGACTCAGAGGGGTTAATTGAATTGCCCCAAATTGCACAAATAGTAAATGGCAAAGCTGATATTACAACTTAAGTTTTACTGGGTCAAATGTTCTTTTCTTTATATCATACTGCCTCTCATGAGCCTATTTCAACAAAAAGAAAAGATAAGATAGGCATGTACTGTACTAATTCTTAATATTTATTGAGTGCTTGCTGTGTTCCAGGCATTGAGCTGAACACTTTACATGCATTATCTATTTAATCCTAAAACAACCCTAGGAGCTAGATATGATTATTATCCTCTTTCTACAGAAGAGGAAATTATAGCTTAGTGGAAGTTAAATGTAGCGCAGTAAAGTTAAATTATTTAACTAAAGTCACAAGGCTAAGATATAGCCTAGGATGATATATTTGGGAATATAAACCTAGCCTTGTGACGTTACAGCCATAATCACCAGGCTATAATTGCCCTGTAGGTAAATTTTTATGAGTCAAAAGGGAGCACGACCACCCAGACCACCCAGGGATTTCATCCTTCTGTCTTTCTGGAGGGTCTACAATGCACTGAGGAGTCTTGCACAACTACTATTTTTAAGTAGGAAAGGATAGCTGTAACAGTTATAAATTTTTAAACAGTAGCATGAAAACACACATATATAAGTAAATAAGCAGGTTTTTAAAAAACAGATTTAAAACAGGCAAGCAATCATTACAAAGGAATGTGCCTGTTTGCTGTCATGTATATGCCCCAGTGCTATGATATTTGTGATTAAGTGTTCTTACCAACATGGATTGGGCAGTTAAAATAATAGCATATGTCCCCCTTTTGTTTTTTGGAGGTTCCTCCCTGTTTCATCTAATTCTTCTATCTAAATAAAGGTTTAGCATTATCTCTGGCCATTAAAGTCAGAAAAACGTATCATTCTGAGAAAACTAATCTAAAAGATAAAGATGTTAGAAAAAAAACAACAGAGTAAATTTTAAGAGACTAAAAATTAAAAAATAATACAGATGAAAGCATCATTGAAAACAAAAGATGTAATTAGGTACAATAAGAAATAGGTTACAGTCAACAAGATTCACAGTTAAAATAAATCTTAGCAAAATTCAGCATTTTTTGGACCTGATAAAGGTAAATGTAATATTTCATAATCAAAGGAAATATTCACCTCACCATGAATAAGGATATCTATCATTGCTGTTTTTATTCAACCTCATACTAAAAAACCTATCTAGATTATGAAAAAAAAAATTGGTTTACAGGCAGGAAACAAATTACTAGGCTAAATCACATAGGACAAGAAGGCGTTTGAATATGAGATCAGTATTCAAAACTCCTTATACATACAGACACACAAATATGACAGAGAGAAAGACAGAGAGAAATTGATTTGAGGGTTTAAATTTAGGCACAAAGTTTGCTCTGAAAGAATGGAAAGGCCAGGTGCGGTAGCTCATGCCTGTAAGCCTAGCACTTTAAGAAGCCAAGGCAGGCAGATCATCTGAGGTCAGGAGTTTCAGACCAGCCTGGCCAACATGGTGAAACCCCATCTCTACTAAAAATACAAAGATGAGCTGGGTGTGGTGGCGCACACTTGTAATCCTAGCTACTTGGGAAGCTGAGGGGGGATAATTACTTGAACCCAGGAGGCGGAGGTTGCAGTGAGCTGAGATCATGTCACTGCATGCCAGCCTGAGCAACAGAGAAAGACTGTGTCCCACAAAAAAAGAAAAATAAATAAAGATGGAAAGAAATTTGGGGAGGCAAAATGGAACAAGGCTTTCATGAAAGGGAAATCATTCAAATAAAGAGAAGAGTGGAGAATTACGGGGCATATTTAGGAAACAAGGATTATACCAGCGGGTAAGGGTTTGACTCTAGGTTGATGAGTATTAGGAAAAGATTGGAAATATAATGGGAGTTCTAATAGTTTGAATATTAACCTTAAAATAAAGAATGCTATTGGGAGTTTTAAACAAGAATTTGGGTCAGAAAGATTCTTGTGTCATAGAAAATTATTCTCTCTCTCTCTCTCTCTCTCTCTCTTTCTCGTTGAGTTCTAGTCAAGAAGGATATTTAATGATTATTTCACTTGTTGAGTTCTGGGATTTTGATCTCACCAGGCTCAAGAACAGCTCCAAGCAGAGGTGCTGAGGTATAAAGCCAAAATTGAAGACCTGGAAGCGACTCTGGCTCAGAAAGGGCAGGTAGGCATTTGGTTGCTTAGCTCTTCTGCAGATGCAGACAATTTAATCTGACCTTCCTCTAGCTCACCTGTGCATGGGCCGCATCCAGGACACAGCTTGGCTCTTCACAGTGATCTTTCTCAAAATGTGTTAGAACGCTCAACTCTGTATTTCTGTCCCTGGTGTTTTTCTGGGCAGAGTATGAACCCAGCCACAACAGTGAATGAGGCTGGGCAAGAGAGAGAATGCCAGAGGAAGAGGAGCCCTGTACAAATAGCCTAGAGTGGTCATGAGCTGCTAAGACCAAGACCCACCCCCCAGCTGCGTTCTCTGCCTCTATGCTACATTTCTGCATTTTAATGTTTTCCATCCATATGTATCTAGCCTGTGTGCATTCTGACCCTTTTCACTTTTTGCCTGTGTGGTCACTTCTGAGTCCCCAGAAGTCTGGTCCTGGATTATTCAAACTGGAAAAGGTAGACATAGGGAGTGATGATGAAAAGGGGGTTAAATTTTCCAGGCAACTTTGGTCTCAATGTCTTTGAAGGAGCTGGCAGGGGTGGGTGCTACTTACCAGTCTTTGGCAGGCAAACAAACAGGGTGGGGAGAAGGCAGCTCTGGCAAAGCGGTTTGACGACACAGGCTCTTTCGTGCCACTCTGAAATGCTGACTGCGCGATATTCTTTGTCAAACAGGATTCACACTGGGTAGAAGATAAACAACTTTTCATTAAGAGAAACCAGGAGCTTTTAGAAAAGGTATGTTGGGCGTAAACCCTAGTGGGGCAAAGGAGAAAATCATGAGAGATCCAGGAGCAGCAGGGGGTGCTCTCAGGAGTGGCACAGGGGCCAGGGGAAGGGGAGGCTTTTCTGGCGCTGCTCTGTCCTCGGCTGAGTGCTCAACCGCATCCCTGTCACCACCATCACCATCAGTGAAGTGGCATGTGTGCATGGCTCTGCGCTGGGCATTGTGCAGACTTGAAAGGATGTGATCCCTGAAACCTCCTGATTTGTTAACCATACATATATATACTGTGTATATATGTAAACACACACACACACACACACACACATATCCTGTGTGGTTGTCTACAAAAAAAAAAAAACCTCTAGGAGGGCCTGGCACAGTGGCTCATGCCTATAATCCCAGCACTTTGGGAGGCTGAGGTGGGTGGATCACCTGAGGTCAGGAATTTGTGACCAACCTGACCAACATGGTGAAACCCTGTCTCTACTAAATATAAAAAATTAGCTGGGTGTGGTGGTGTATGTCTGTAATCCCAGGTACTTGGGAGGCTGAGGCAGGAAAATCACTTGAACCCGGGAGGCAGAGGTTGCAGTAAGCCGAGATTGCGCCATTGCACTCCAACTTGGGCAACAAGAGCAAAACTCCATCTCAAAGAACAAACAAACAAACAAACAAACAAAAATCCTCTATGAATAGAGTTTGTTATTTTGTGCGAAGAAGTGATAGTGTGACTCCAAGACCATGCCAAAACCTAGCATAGACTTAGATTCTCACTTTTAGTCTTTTTATTAAGGCTGGGTCATTCTTCTTTTTTTTTTAAAGAAAGAATTTTTTTTAGATGAATACTGCTTGTAAAGCACAAAACAGTATTCCAGGAAATTATTCAACAAATTAAGAACTAAAACACATAGTTTAGACTTGAATAGATATAATTAATTTGGGCTGTCTGAACATAGGGGCAATTAAACATAACACATTTTCAGTTCAAAGGTGGCTTTCCTTTGGCATTTACCTTCTACAAATCTAGTGAAATATTACAAAATAATTTTTTTTTTGAGACGGAGTTTCACTCTTGTTTCCCAGGCTGGAGTGCAATGACACAGCCTCAGCTCACCGCAACCTCCACCTCCTGTGTTCAAGCAATTCTCCTGCCTCAGCCTCCCGAGTAGCTGGGATTATAGGCATGTGCCACCAAATCTGGCTAATTTAAATTACAAAATAATCTTATATTATGTTTGACAAAAACAGTATTTGAAAGCCCAATTGTGTAAGGGAAAAGTAATTGTGTAGGTCAATCCAAAGTTATGCAGAAATTATTTTAGAATTGTTTCTATGAATATTTCTTATCCTTGACAAGTAATAAAAATTAACCATAATGTCTTGGCTGGTAAGCATGAGAAGGAAGAAAAAGATGCTTATCCTACTTCCCCTCTAGTGTGGCAAAGTGAAGACATCCTATCTCATGTTTTGCATGCTGTGAGACAGAGCTGATGTATATGTCACATAGATGTACAGGTGATGTATATGCCATATACAGAGTGGGCAGGTATTCAAAAATTGAGAACTGGTGTTTTCGGGAAGGTTGAGGGGCCCTATAAAGAAACTTTTTTGGCATTGGTCCTGGTCTATGAATTACAGTCTGTGAGCCACTGATCTAATTGTTTCATTAACCACCAGAACCAGCAGTCTTCCCAAATACTCCACCACTGATTCAGTGGAAGATTCTAGGAAGTAGAATCTCCTTTATAATCTAAGTTAACTTCTACAAACTTGTGAAAGTTTACTAGGCCACAAATATCAGGGGTAGAAAACTTGACTACATTAATTAATGTCATATAATTTCTCACTATTTCCCTTTCTTTTCCTAATAGTTTCAAAGATGCCCAGAAATAAAAGTGTTATTGTACTGCTTTGTCATAAAATAAAAAAATTCTCATTATGTCTTCTATCTTGTTTCCATTCGTCTTAAAAAAAGGGGGAATTTTAAGCTCAGGCTTCTAAGAATAAAAGGATGGCAGAAATTACAATGAACCTAAATATTTAACTTCAAATGTATATATTTGGGAAAGTAAAATTCATCCTATGTTAAAAAGGCCCTGGGTTTGTATTTTTAAATTTAAGATTTTAAATATTTACTGTATGTAATGCCCACCCACACAGCTAATATTAAGGGAAGCCCAAATCCATTGTACTCATAAAGATTTTCTGAGCCCTTAAAATCCAGAGATGACTCAGACATGAACCCTGTCTACAGGGGAAGGTGCATTTATACATAGCTTACTGAAATCCATGCTTCCTCAAGTTATACAAGAGGTCCTATAAGAAAGTCTAGAGGAAGGCCAAGTGCAGTGGCTCACCCCTGTAATCCCAGCACTTTGGGAGGTCGAGGTGGGTGGATCACCTGAGGTCAGGAGTTCAAGGCCAGCCTGACCAACATAGCGAAACCCCATCTCTACTAAAAATACAAAAAATTAGCCAGACATGGTGGCGGGCACCTGTAATCCCAACTACTTGGGAGGTTGAGGCAGGAGAATCACTTGAACCAAGAGGCGCAGGTTACAGTGAGCCAAGATCGTGCCATTGGACTCCAGCCTGGGCTTCAAGAGCGAGACTCCATCTCAAAAAAAAAAGAAAGAAAAGAAAGAAAGTCTAGAGGAAAATAAAAGGAGAGGTGTCACTTCTGAATTGGTTGACTAGGGAAGGCTCTACAGACAGCAGAGCTTGTTTAAGCTCTATGTTTAAGAGCTTAGCTTTAAGGAGTTTAAAGAAGTATAGAATTTTCTCACATAGAAAAGGAGATGAGGTAAGTCATTTTCAGGCAGAGTAGATACAGAGTTCCTGGAGTAGTCAATTCATCGGGTAGGCCACATTTTCTAGATTCTAGTGTTTGCGTGATCATGTGTGAGTGTGTTTGTACAGCAATGACAGTGATAATATTTAAAACTGTAAAGCTAGGTGGTAATCTGATTATTAAAGTTTTCGAATTCAGTGTTAAAGAGCTGGCTTTCTTCTGTAGTAATGGAAATTCGGCAAAATTTTGTATATGACGAGAGCTTCTTTTTTTTTAAATTCTGTAACAAATATAACTCAAGAAATGAGAAGTATCCATCCCTCTTATGTATACCATTAAATTTGGTTCCAGTAGACTGTCTCTGACCCATCACAAGGGCAAAATGAGTATTCTCAGATTCACTATTCACAGAATTCCTAGATTTTGATTCCGAGGAACAGAGACGTCTTCTGGCATTTTTCTCTATGACTCAAAAACTCAACTGAAGGATAACTAGAAGGAAAACCAAAGACTTATTTTATTCACATCTACTTGGGAATATTTTTCATGGTCTGGAAGACTTATTCACTGAGTAAATCGAACACTATTCATGCTTGCTTTGCAAAGTTGTAGTTGCCTTTTGCAATGCTTACCTAACTTCAGGATTTACTTTATTAGATAGAAAAACAGGAGGCAGAAAATCACCGGTTACAACAGGAACTACAGGACGCCAGAGACCAGAATGAGCTGCTGGAGTTTCGAAACCTAGAGCTAGAAGTAAGGAAATAATGATGATAATAACAAAAATAATCATAACGATTAACATGCACTGAGCACATTGAGGAATTAGGGGCTGAGTTAAGCATTTCAGATTCATACTCTCATTGGACCTCACAATCAGCCTCAAAATTACATAGCAGAGGCAACTGAGATTAGTAAGTTGCCTAAGTCCTGTAACTAGTAAGTGGTGAAGCCTTGATGCAACTCCAAACTGTCTGCTTAGATACTGTGCATTTCAACACTACTATCTTTATAAACGAGACTAATAAATAATTTTTAAAAAGTTAAATAGATTTCAACCATCCTCAATATTTCATTGTTTTTAAATACTCATGTCCATCTTTCATTGAATTTTGACTCATTAATGCATATTACTTAAGAATTATTTTTCAAAATGTGCTATATATAAAAATATTTTGTAGGCAAATGTAAATTTATAAGTAAATGTTTTAGTCTCTAATGCATTTCTGGAAGAATCAAGGTAACTTGTCTTAGAAATATTAATCTGACCAAATTTCAGGTCAGATTAGGAAATGTCTTCGTTAATCTGACCAAATTTCAAAGGTGTTGCTTTTTATTTTGAAACTAAAACATAGAAACATCAGATTTTGAGTGTATCCTGCAAAATCTGACTTAGGATCTGGTTCAGTGTATGTCGATATATAAAGGTATAAGAAAAATTCCCATTTGACTTCTGTTATTTTGCCAGTTATTTCTTCTAAAGGTTATTTCAAATTAGGTCTGGATAAAAAGTTAGGTGTTAGTAGGCTTCAGTGAGGAAAAGTCATTCTTTTGTGGCCCACATGTCTTATTTATAAAACTTGAATAGATTGAATATGCAAAAGGCTGTTAGGGGCCATAAAACTTCATGGCAAGACCACAATATGGTATTTGAAAACTCTAAATATTCATACAGTTTAAACTGGAGCTCCACTTCCTGCATTTCCCTGATCAAAAAATTTGCAAGAATGGATGACACTATCTGTAAATTCTTCTTCTCAATCTCTTAGTTGACTAGTCAGTTTTTTCCATTACATTTAATCATGAGCATCTTGAGTTTGAATTTTTTTCTTTTTGCCAAATTACATTAATAAACTGTTGAAATAGCATAAAGAGACCACTGGTTTAGTGTTTAATCAGTTTTTTTTAATTTCCACATATTCTTCACTGAATTTCAAGGAGAGAGAGAGACGATCCCCTCCATTTAATCTCCAAATTCACCCATTCTCAGATGGTGTGAGTGCTCTACAGATCTACTGTATGAAAGAAGGTGTTAAGGTAGGCAGATATTTAATTTTTTATGTTTTTAGAAATTAGAAAAACTGGGAATGGGAAAAGGGGAGGTTGCTCATGACTATTTTGTCTTTTAGTCACTGGATGTCATCATTTTGTTACAAACTATGTAGTAATTGAAAACAGTCACATCTACTAGAAAATTAATAGAATTTTTTTAATGTGGTGACAGCTGTCTAAATGATAACAGTAAAAAACACAGGCATCCATGATTATTTAGAACAGCGTCATACAAATAAAAATGCAGAATCAAAATTAGCCTTAATTACCTGGGAGAAATGTGAAATCAATTTAATGCTTCAAGAAATATATTTCTAGTGTGCCAGATAAAAAAGTTGGATTCCCTTTGTGGAGCCATTCTAGGTGCCATGGAATTCAGAATCATCGAATTGCAAAGTTAGAAGAGGCTTTGAAGTCATCTAGTCCACCATCTCTTTTGATGTGTTTAATTTAGGGAGGATTGCTCTTTTGGAAGGGCTTAGGGTTTATAACAGGTTGCATATTAAATAGAATATCATTCTCTTTTTAGTGCTACTGGATACGTTTTAAACATTAGAGTTGAATTGAGGTGGCTCTGTCCCTGGGGAAATATATTGTCCTTAAGTGTAGTAAAATCACACTGTGAATATTGTTCCTTGGGTAAGGCTGAGATGCTACCTGCTATTTCTGGTCTCTCCTTACCTTCTGCATGACCCTCCCTGCTCCCATTCTGAGCTGCCAAATATACTTGCTTCTGTTGCTTCCTCTCTACTTATGAGATTGAGCTGGGCTTTCCCTTTCCTGGTGGGAGGGCTCTACTGTACTGCTGCTTGAACATGAGTAAGAGGACAATGCGGTGCCAATAAGGTAAAAAGTGGGAAAGAACTTGGGTAGTAAAATTGTGCTTCCTTCTCTTCCATCTTAAACCATTGTGCTGGTGTTTAAATTTCTGGCCTTCCTGGGCAGGATGGTAATTTGTAAACCAAAGCAATTTTTTTTATTTCACTGTAATTAAATGAAAACAATTTACTTTGCCTTTTCCGTCAGTGCTTTTTTTCTCAGATAAATCACGAACAACCTAATCCAATGAACTCTCAAATGGAGTTCAGCTGCTTCAAACTGACTCAAGGCACAGGGTAAAAATAAAACAGATGAAATTAATGCAAGCTAGCTTTAAAAACTGGGGGACTGCACTGTAGTTTTCTACATGGCAGTCAAAATTCAATCAGGTCAGAATTTTTCTAATTAGAATGACATTGGTTGATTCTTCATATTTATTACCTATTACTATTTTATACCTGAAAGTTATCATAATTTTAAAAAAAAAAGGTTTGGCAGTCATGAGAAGAAAGTTAATGAGAATATTCTAAGTCCTTACTACGTGCTAGACTCTTTTATACATAGTCTCTTTATCCTGGAGATCAGTTCAGCCTATGAAGTAGGTGTTTATTATCTCTGTTTTGCAACTAGCAAAATTAAGAATGATCTGTTAAGTACCTGGCCCAAGTTCACACAGCATGTACGAGGCAAAATTGAAACTTAAAAGTAGATGTGCCAGATTGAAAACATGCCAAGGAATTTCAGGCCCTAAAATGTGTTTCTCTAACTTTGTGTTCAGACAGTGATGGAATAGTAGGCCACATTTGCCTTTGACATGAGTTTCTGCTTAATTTTGCAGGATGTGAACATCCCTGATCTCATAAAGCAGCTTGATATCTTGGGTGATAATGGGGTAAGTAAAGAATTGATTAAGCATAGTATAGATATGAATTTGCCTAAACAGAGGCAAGAAATACTTAACAATGCATCATGTGTAAAGTAAGTGCAAGTGAGATGCCATGCTCACTTAAGGATGTTGCTCCTTGGGAAGAATCTACAATTTATTAAACAACTTGGCTAAGGGGTTGTAAGGATCTCTGGAAGGTATTAGCAGAAATGAGACCTGGTAAAGTGCTTTTCATGGGCAGGTTTCAGGTTTGAATGCTGACCACATCTCCAGTGACTAATGCTAATTACTGTCTGACTCCAGCTCAAAGGCATCCAGTGTGAAATTAATCAGTCATGCATTTGCAAAGGCTGCCAAATACTAGGGTTGTTGGCAGCTCCATAAAAATGGACCAGAAAGCTATAATCCATTTTCTTTCTAAAAACACCTTCCAGACAGAGTCAAGGCACATTAATTCAGTGGGAGGACCATTTATTGTGATACTAGGTGAATGGTGCTTGTAGGTTGAAGGAGTCACTGCTTTTCCCTTGAAAAAATATCAAAGGAGAGAACAGAATTAGTAAAATTACATCAAAACTACTACGAAGAGACTGTTCTTTATTCCATTTTGGTTTCTGTTTTTCTCATAACATGACTATTAATAAAATATGCCTCCAGTGACATGAATCAAGCCACTGTTAGGAGATATTTTTAAAAATCACATTTAATATGCTTCATTCGGGTTTTGATTAACTCTTTGTTAAGAATTATTACTTAACAGGATAGGAATTTATTAAGGTTCTATACAGGCTTATACACTATGTTCTGAGGCAGTCAGTCAGACAGTATTTTCTTTAGGGTAAAATAATATCAGTATCTTCAGCATATGGCCTTTCTTATTTTTTACAGAATTTAAGAAATGAAGAACAAGTGGCTATCATTCAGGCCAGCACTGTGCTGTCCCTGGCAGAGAAGGTAATGAGTCGTACAAACATTTCAAATCATCTCTGTGTCTGGCTTAATCCTGAATGAGCAGGATAGGGTGTGAAGGGCATTCCCTTTGCACACTTAGTGTGTGAATACGTACTACACATTTTATTTTTAAGAGTAGTACAACCCAGATAAAATGAGAACACCCAAAAGAAAAGTCTGTACACTGATTTGGAGTGGGTGAATAATTTTTGCTTTGAAGTTCCTTAAAAATATGTACAATTCTTTAAAAACAGAAAACCTTCTGCATTACATTATTTGCACAATCCTTACAAAGCTGGGAAACCAACAAAGAAGAGTTTTGTGGGGCGGTGGTAAACTGGAGCATTGCTCTTGTCATAGACTTTTCCTCGAGTGTGTTCATACCAATTGCTTCCAACTGATCCTGTGGCTTAATAGTGGCTCATTGCTGTCTCATTCAGAAAGCTTGACAGAGACTGTCAGGAGAAAATCAACACTGAGTGTGCTCTGGCTCCATCTTGTGTCTAAACCTGGTAAATGGCCAGATAAATTGGTGTTTTCAGAGTACTTTGCAAATCAAAGCACAAAGTCTGGCAGGGTGGCATGTGCCTTTAGTCCTAGCTACTTAGGAGGCTGAGGGAGGAGGCTCACTTGAGTCTAGGAGTTTGGGACTGTAGTGTGCTGTGATCACGCCCATGAGTAGCCACTGTACTTCAGCCTGGGCAACATAGTGAGACTCTATCTCCTTTGAAAAAAAAGTACCAGTAAATAGTTGAGAGTCATGTGCACATGGTTGGATAACATGAGAGCAAGCAGTCAGCTTTATCCAATCTGAAATGAGGGAATTCTACAGGTCAAATGACAGTTTAGCTACTCACACAAAAGAATGACAGAAAGAAAAAACAGGGAGAAAAAGAAGCATAGCTATGAAATAAAAAGACACTTCAGAATAATTGAAATGGTTCTCTTTTGGATCCTAATTTAAGCAAACCAGGTGTTTATAAAAAAGGACTTTTTGTGGACAACTGGAGAAATTTAATGTGGACTGGGTATCAGATGACAAAAGTCATTAATGTTAATTTTGTAAAGTGTACAAATAACCTTGTGGGTTTTTTTTTTTAAAACAGAAAGGCCTTATCTGTTAGGGATACATATTGAAGTATTTACATGTGAAGTAACATGAAAGCTGGGATTTCTTCTTTTGGAAAAACTTACTTCCTTCACAGTTTAATTACAGAACTGATCACTTTCTCTAATCTTTCCCCAGCAAATTAATAATGCTGCATGATCTTTAACAGAAGGTCCAAATTTAGAATTTGGCACAAAGATCCTCTGGGATTTGAGCCTTATCTATTTCTCTAGTGTCTCCTCTCCCTTTTGTCTCCCTCCATTCTCTCTCTGTCTCTCTCCATTCTCCACTCTTGGTCCTTTACACTGCTCTTTCTACCTGGAAGATATTCCCACCTTGCCTTTCTACCTCTGCCTGGCTAAATCTTAATCACCAGACCTTCCCACACATAAGGAAGCCTGACTATTGACCCAAGACCCCTTAGGTGTTCCCGCTGTATGTTCCCACAGTGCCCTGTGCTTCTGCCCCCGTGGCTTTTAACAATTGCATCGCACTGTCCACTGCATTTGTCATATCTCCCCATCTAACTACCACTAGACTCTAAGGCCCATGAGGGCATATAGTTGTGTCTCCCCACCCCCGACCCCCTGTTTTTTGCCCTAGCTTTTCACACCAGTCCAGCACATATACTGGGTGATGAATACATGTTAACCGAAGGAGTAAAGTGAATTTGTGAATGCTCACAAGACACTATTTCAGTGACAACGCAAAGCTGAAAGAAACAGTCTGTGCCTCCGGTGCTGCTATTAACTGGCACGGATAGCCAGAGAGCCTCATGCAGTTGGAATCATGAAGGGCTGCAATTCTTTATTGAATGTAAAAAATCTCCTTGGTTTAGGGCTACATACAAAACATAGGGCTGATTCTATGGAAGATGAGAACTGAGGAGGTGAAAGAAAGGAAATACAGCCTTGTGTGTCTCACATTTTCGGAGATCGATGGGAGAAATATCTTCTGCTCCCTGCCCTGTGTGGGTGCAGTACAACTGTACTTATCAGAACCAACACTTGTGCTGTGCTCCTTTTGAGATAGGCACTTTCTAACTGCTGAAGACTAGGTACTATGTGACCTTTATTTCACACAAGGAATCTGAAGTACAAAAAAGGTAGAAAACTGCCTAAGGTCATATAGCTTGAAGTTGATGGAGTCAGGATTCATACCCAAGTAGTCTGGTTCTAAAGTCCATGATCTTAACTCTTGCACCAAACTCCCTCCTTCAGGAAATAGGCTTTATAGACTCCATGGGAGCTGGGCTATCAGAGCTGTGGCAAATTAGCCCATGCCTCTGCTTACCTTTTTTGCAAGACAGGTATAAGGCTCAGTTGAACAAATACAGGGTGATGACATTGTGCTTAGCTTTGTGGTAGAAAGCTAGGAACCAGATGAACAAGACGCAAGCCTGCCCTGGAGTGCTCACGGTCTGTTCAACTGCCTTTTATGCAGACTTTTGCAATGCACAGATTAGAGTTACCTCCAGTCTGTGGGGTTCCCAGATAATTAGTTTCTACTTCCAAGTAATTCCAAACATCGACAATGAATTTTTTGAGATGATCAATATGAATAGCACTCTATTCATATTGAGCGGAGATTGTGCCATTGCACTCCAGTTTGGGCAACAGAGCAAGACTCCAAGTATGATCTTTAGTCAGAGCTTGAGCCTAGACAAAATTCCAACAAGCAAACCCAAATGTCACTTTGTATTAAAAATAATGGCAGTGACCTTGAGTAAGAACATATTTGGAGCTAGATACCGCACTAAATGCCATAAGTACATTATCCCACCATTCCTTACAACCATTCTACAGGTGCCACCATTTTTTAATTTGTATAAATTTAAGGAGTACAAGTGTACTTTTATTACATAGATACATTGTGTAGTGGTGAAGTCTTGGCTCTTAGTGTCTCCACCACCCACATAATGCACATTGAGGTACCATTGTTTTTGTTTTATACATGAGGAAACCAAGGCTTGGAATATTCAGTAACTTGTCCTGGATTACACAAGTAGGAAGGAACAGCAACCAACCAACAAATGTATATCTAATGCTCATGATTTAATGACTTTAGTTTACAGTAATCTTAAAAACATACTTTTTAAAAAATGTTTTTCGACAACAAATGGGCAGCAAGCAAGATAAAGGATTTTGGATGGATACGATTGCAATATGAGTCTATTTACACAATACCCATGACTGGCTGCAATTTATTTCAAGGGAAAGCCATGTGTCTGTACAAAGAACTGATGGATTAGCACCTCTCCAGTCTCAGCATGCTTTCTTTTCTTTCACCATGTTCCCCACAGCCAAAGAGTGGTTGAACATGGTATCCCCTTGTAAGTATCAAGGCTGTAATGCATAGAAATGCTCACTGTGCTGCATAGTTTATCACAGGTAAACTAAAAAAAAATGTCTGGGACCAGGTGCAGTGGCTCACACCTGTAATCCTGGCACTTTGGGTGGCCAAAGTGGGTGGATTGCCTGAGCTCAAGAGTTTGAGACCAGCCTGGGGAACACAATGAAACCCCGTCTCTACTAAAACTACAAAAAAAGTAGCCAGGCATGGAGGTGTGCACCTATAATCCCAGCTACTCAGGAGGCTGAGACAGGAGAATCGCTTCACTCTGGGAGGCTGAGGTTGCAGTGAGCAGAGATTGTGCCATTGCACTACAGTTTGGGCAACAGAGCAAGACTCCATCTCAAAAAAAAAAGAAAGAAAGAAAAAGAAAAAAGAAATATATGGTAGTGAGATCCCACTAGTACATGCAATACACGATGGATACTGCCTCATTTATTTCCTTAATATTTACATTATTATTAAACTTATTTGATAGACAAGAAACTTGAGACTTAGAGAAATCAGGTAACCTTTCCATGCCACCCACTCATGAAATGCTGGAATTGAAATTATGGCCAAGGTAGTCTGCCTTCAGAACCCACTTACTTAATTATTATGCCCAGTTGCTTCCCTAAAATATAAGCTGGCATTTAACTTGATAGAGATTCATTATAATAATTTTTTCTATTTAAAAATGTGTATGGTAAGGTCACTTCATATTATTCAAAGTCTGCATTCAGGGTGTTTATCAATGCTAACATAAATATATATCCTGGGTACTGGGAAAGATACGTTTTTATGTGATTTAAAATACCTCCACTTAACAAAAATAATTCCTCCCCCCTCTGCTGTTACCAGGTTTTTGTTTTGTTTTGTTTTGTTTTGAGACAAAGTCTCACTTTGCCACCAGGCTAGAGTACAGTGGCGCAGTCTCAGCTCACTGCAACCTCCACCTCCTGGGTTCAGGCAATTCTCCTGCCTCAGCCTCCCGAGAAGCTGAGACTACAAGCATGTGCTACCATTCCCAGCTAATTTTTGTATTTTTTAGTGGATACGGTGTTTCACCATGTTGGCCAGGATGGTCTCGGTCTCTTGACCTTGTGATCCATTCGCCTTGGCCTCCCAAAATGCTAGAATTACAGGCATGAACTACCACACCCAGCCTGTAATCAGTTTTATGTACTGAAAAATTACCATCGTCCCCATTCTCCAGTGTACCTGGCCTTCTTTCTCTCATCCTGCTTCCTCCAACAACAGAGCTAATGGACATGATGTCCCTTCTACTTGGAACTTCTTCATTTTTTCCCAGTCATTCGCCCATTCTTTGGACTCCAGTGCAATTAACACTTACGAGAAAGACTCCCATGGTATTCTCCAGTAGGGGCAGAAGTCTTGTTGCTCTTATTCACCATTGCAGCCCTAGGACTTGGTACAGCACCTGATACTTGCCAGTCATCCGTAAATGCATTTGTTGAATGGGTGAGTGAATGAATACAAGGAAGACCGTAGTCTGCTTCTGAACTATGAAATAAAAATGTGTTGTTTTTGCTTCAGTTCTCAGTCCGCTTCCTAAGATATAAGAGGAAGGGACTGAGCACTTCGGGGGGGCACACAAATATACACCACGTCAAGCAGTCATGTCAAACACTTTTGTCTTGTTAACTCCTTAGTGGATTCAGCAGATTGAAGGAGCAGAGGCTGCCCTACACCAGAAAATGATGGAATTGGAAAGTGACATGGTAAGTACAAAGATGAGGTATTGTAAAAATTAAGAAAAGTTTACAAGGCAAAGGGAAAATTAACATTGCCTCTACCAGTTTTATCTGGCATTGATGAAAGTTTGTCCTCTTTCCATTATTTTATGTACAGAACATGGAAAAGAACTACCAGAAGTACCAAGCAATTTCAAGCTATGTTCTCCCCCAAAAGTGTTAGCTTTCCAAAAATATCCAAAACTAATGCTGAAGTAAATTGAATTTTCTTATGTTTTCTTTCTTAGGCTCAGTAATTTTTCCACTGTATTTAATTAACAAGTAAAAACTACAGAAATAGAGGGTGTAACTCTGATTTTAAAAATCCCTAAGCCACCTTACATCCATTAGAATAGCAAAAAAAAAAAATCCCTAGAAAAAAGACCTAGTGCAGTGGCTTACACCTGTAATCCCAGCAATTTGGGAGGTTATGACAGGAAGAGTGCTTGAATGCAAGAGTTTGAGCCCAGCCTGGGCAACATAGTGAGAACCCATCTCTGCAAAACCTAAAAAATAATTAGCAGGCATAGTGGTAAGTATGTGTGGTCCCAGCTACTTGGCAGAGCGTGGGGGGAGGTGGGAGGTGTGACGCAATAGGATCATTTGAGCCCAGGACAGGGAGGCTGCAGTGAGCTATTTTCGTGCCACTGCATTCCAGCCTGGACAACAGAGGAAGACTCTGTTCCCACAATCAAAAAGATAAAACAAGTATTGGCAAAGAGAAAGGGAAATTCAAACCCTTCTTCACTATTGATGGGAATGCAAAACTTGTATATCTACTATGAAAAATAGTATGGTGATTGCTCAAAAAAATCAGAATAGAATTGCTATATGGTTCAGCAATAGCACTTCTGGGTGTGTATCCAAAAGAATCGAAGCCAGAGTCTGGAAGAGATACTTATACACCATGTTCATAGCAACATTATTAACAATAGCCAAAAGGTAGAAGTAACCTAAATGTCCATCAATAGGTGAACAGATAAACAAAAGGTACAGTATACATATCATGGAATATCATTTAGCCTTCAAAACGATGGAAGTTTTGATACAAGTTACTATATGGATGTACTTTCAGGACACTATGTTAAGTAAAACAAGCTAGTCACAGAATGATAAATGCCATATGAATCCACTCATGTGAGTTGCTAGATTAATCAAACTTAGAAACAGGCAGTAGACTGTGGTTGCCAGGAGGTAAGGAGAGGAAATGTAGCATTGTTGTTTCATTCGTATAGTTTCAGTTTTGCAACATGAAAAATACAGTACATCGGTTGCATAACAATGTGAATACACTTTGTACTTCTGAATTGTACACTTAAAACCGGGTTAAAAATGAGTAAGGTTATAAATGTTACGTGCATTTTACCACAGTTTAACAAGTTTCCTTTTACTCGCCAAGTCTAAAAATTGATTAGTATTAACTTACAGCAATGCATAGAAATTTATAACAAGATTCAGCTGGGCACAGTGGCTCACACCTGTAATCCCAGCATTTTGGGACGCCGAGGCAGGCAGATCACCTGAGGAGTTTCAGACCAGCCTGACCAACATGGAGAAACCCCGTCTCTACTAAAAATACAGAATTAGCAGGGTGTGGTGGCGCATGCCGGTAATCCCAGCTAGTCAGGAGGCTGAGGCAGGAGGATCACTTGAACTCAGGAGATGGAAGTTGCAGCGAGCTGAGATCACACTATTGCACTCCAGCCTGGGCAACAAGAGCATATCTCCGTCTCAAAAAAGAAGAAATAAATGTATAACAAGATATCATTAATGTTATCATTAACTAGAAAATATGAGTGAATTACTATTGGGTAAAGGAATCCTAAAAAAAAAAAAAAAAAAAAAAAAGCATTTGTATAGCATATTATAGCTTATAAATAATTTGCTTTTATTTTATACAGTGCTTACATTTTACTGAGAGATTAGGCTCTGATGTCAAAGCATATAAAAAGAACAATTTGTTATTTTATTTGATTTTTATATTTGGCTAAAAAGGATTTCCAAATGAACACTTTGCTTCCAAAATTACCCTTGAAAGCTCTTTAAATGCACAAATATTAATTAAACAATTAGCCTGTATCAGGCACTGTTATAAAGCTGGAATTCAGCAATCACCAGCAAAGTCAAAACCAAAATTACTGCATACAGATATATGTTCTTTCAAAAGTCAACACTATGAGATTTTCTTCGGAGTTGGAAGAGGTCTTTGTTCCTTCAGTTAAGCACCCAAACAGACAATTGACTTGTGCTTGGAATGATGTGATACACAAAGATACAGTTTTAAGTGCTAGTGGCAAGATGCTCATACTATGAGAAGCACATAGAAACTGAGAACAAGAGAGGGAACATCAGATTTATGTTTCCCAGCCCACACTGGCTTTGTAGCTAAAGCAGACACCCACTCATTAAGTGGCAGTGTGGGTGGAATCACTCCTACTCTTTAAATTGCTATTTTTGTCCTTGTGTTTGCTGATTGTACACACATGAATTTAAGTAAGTTAAGCTTGTTCACTATGCAACCTGGCTATGTTACATTTTATCACATTCTTACAAAAATATATTATTATAATATATTTACACAGATAGGCTTATTATTAAACGCTAGTCAAAAGCTATACTTAATCACATACTCTCAGGTTGAAAATCTTTTAGAGCATTCTATGTGGATTTTTCATTGTATCTTTTATGCTGCTTTCCATTGATTTTCACATTTCTTATGTGAAACTGCAGGAACCGAACTATTTCCCTAACAGACAAAATTTATGACTCTACAAATACTAGTGATTTGTCTTATGGTAGAATTAGAGAAAACATTAATCAGTACACTTTGTATGTCATTTTCTAGTTAACTAAGCTGACTGTATCAATATGGCCCTTTGTTACAGGAACAATTCTGCAAAATAAAAGGCTATCTGGAGGAAGAACTAGACTACAGAAAACAAGCTCTTGACCAAGCATATATGGTAGGTACAACAAGCAACAGAGACACCCAGAGTATTTACAGTGATGTACTGTGGAATAAAGTGTCCTATTTAATTTTTTATGCTATGTGCTTGAATAGATCACAACATGCAGTTCATTTATTTATGTTTTGAGTTCTAATTTTAGAACAAAGTAATTCCTAGCTCTTATTATGATATTCTTATAATATCTAATAAATATTTAATTATACTTCATTTTTTAACAATTAAGAGGCCAGGCGTGTGCCTAATGCCTGTAATCCCAGCATTTTTGGGAAGCTAACGTGAGCAGATCCCTTGAACCCAGGAGTTCAAGACCAGCATGAGCAACATGGTGAAACCCTGTATCTCCAAAAACAAACAAAAAATACAAAAATTAGCCAGGCATGGTGGAATGCACCTTGTAGCCGCAGCCACTCAGGAGGCTGAGGAAGGAGGATCCATTGAGCCTGGGAGATCAAGGTTGCAGTGAGCTGTGATGGTGCCGCTGTACTCCAGCCTGGGTAACAGAGCAAGATCTGGTCTCAAACAAAACAAATGAAAAACAATTAAATGTTGTTAGATAATATTTAGGGGAAGAACAGATGGGATGACAGTGTAAATTAAAGAGAAATTTTATTAAATAAAACACAATCATTTGGGAGTCTGATCTAGTGGTGGAATAATAATGTATTAAATGTTTGTTATGCATATTGTTAATTCATTTATCTCTTACAACAACCCTGTGAGGTATAGGCAAGATGATTATCCATATCTGACAAATGAGGACAGTAAGATTTAGAGAATATAAGAACTTTGCCCAAGTTGATAAATGGGTAGCATGTAGATCTGACTCCAGATCCTGTGGCCTTGACTACCATAATCCAGCCACAGCGACTGAGGCTTCCATGGCAAATAGGCTGTGCCTTTTTGTCTCCCACAGATTATGATGAGTAAGGAGCACATGTGATCCATTCCTCTCTACCAAATTCCTATTACACAATTCTTCATACTGAACTACAACTCACATTTATTTTCTCCTTATGCTCCACCCTCCCTTAATTCATGGTTATGAGTCAAAAGAAAAAGAGCAAACTAGAGGAATATTTCAAAGAATTCCTAGCAGAGGTTTTCATAATGCTTTCCTGGAAACAGCCTGAGTCACCTTTGGGGAAAGAGTGAAGCACTTAATCCCTGCTTGTAACAAAGATGAACTTGTCTTTGCATTCCAAAATGAATAAGAGATTCTGAGCATTGTTTGATGGGGAAAGAAGAGAATGAGCATTCATTGCTAACTAGAGACAGAGAAGAAAGTGATTTTTGCTTCACTTCTACCTTTCACCCTTGCCTCTTCTACCTGTATGAAATTAAGTTGTGTGTTTATGTGGCTCCCAAGACTATTTTGTACTCATTCAGAAAACCATATTTATCCTTAAAAAGATGAGAACTGCTTAGCCCAGGACAAGAGCTAGGAAAATATCTCTCACCAAAGCATGTCAGATTATAGCAACTGTTATCTAAAGCATATCAAAAAAGAAAGAAGAAAGAAACAGATATAAAAGGTAGTGGATTCTTCATCTACAAAAAAAAGAGAGAAATATTTTAATGAGAGCAGCCATAAATCTCAGAGAATTTAAAAACAGACCAATTTCAAAACTAGGTCATTTTTGGATTTTATTTCTCAATTTTATTTCAAGAAAAAATATGGAGACCATAAAGCCATCTTTAAGTACCAGACGTTTGTCATGTATTAATAGAATAGGAGCAGTATTTTGTGCATAAAATATATCTCCATTTAAGTATTTTGTCCTAACTTAGACTATTTCTAGAAGTATGGTCACGATGGTAGATATCTTTAAATATCTGAAGAGCTGTCTTTTTTTTTTTTTTTTTTTTTTTGAGATTAAGTTTCACTCTTGTTGCCCAGTTCGGAGTGCAATGGTGCTCACTGCAACCTCCGCCTCCTGGGTTCAAGCAATTCTCCTGCCTCAGCCTCCTGAGTAGCTGGGATTACAGGCATGTGCCACCATGCCTGGCTACGTTTTTGTATTTTTAGTAGAAACGGGGTTTCACCATGTTGGCCAGGCTGGTCTCAAACTCCTGACCTCAGATGATCTGCCCGCCTCAGCCTCCCAAAGTGCTGGGATTACAGGCGTGAGCTGCCGCGCTCAGTCAGAGCTGTCAAGTAGAAGTGAGAACACGCTTATTCTCAGCTACACTTTAGAATATGAAGTACAGTTATTATAACAAAGTGAGGGTTTTCTGAAAAGGAAAAGTATATAAATTGGACAGGGTCTGAAGAAGGAACAAATGCTCCCTCACTAGAGAAGTCCATGGATTGGCTGGATGACCCTTAAGGAATCTCATAAAAGGGGATTTTCAGAAGCGTAATTAGGCTAGAGAAGCTTTGAAATTATTTTCTTGCTAAGATCCTATAAGACCAAAGTTGACAGCCATACACATATACATACATAGCGTACACTCCTACACCACATATAAATGCCAAGTTCCGAAGTTAGACTTTTCTAATTCTATTTGCCAGAGAATCCAGGAACTAGAAGCTACTTTGTACAATGCTCTGCAGCAAGAAACTGTTATCAAGTTTGGTGAATTATTAAGTGAAAAACAGCAAGAGGAGCTGAGGACGGCAGTAGAAAAGTTACGGCGGCAAATGCTGAGGAAGAGCAGAGAGTATGACTGTCAGATTCTTCAGGAAAGAATGGAGCTTTTACAGCAAGCCCATCAGGTGAGGACTGAGTCACTGTCTCTGTGTAGGGTTAGTACTAAGCAAATGAGACTTAGTACTAAGGACACTGTATTGAGTAAGGGTATGGAGAAGCCCAGGAGATACAAATTATTTTCAGAGACTACAATAAATAACCATTGTTTTCCACCTTCATGCACACACAAAATGACAGTTTTGCAATAATTCATTCTTGAGAAAATTGGCCTTTCAGAAGGACTGCATACTGCTACTATTTTTAGAACTACATTGTCATGAAATGCCCTTTGAATTTCCTGATGTCTGATTATTTGACTTATGCAGGGAAGCAGAACACATCCCAGGACCAAAATAGTGCTTCCTATTTATTGCTCACTCCAGTTCACAGCCTAACCTGATGAAATAATGCGAATAGTGTAAAAGAGAACAAGGGCCATTCACATTACAAACCTCACCACCCACAAAGCCTGGCAGCTGCCATTTACTTACTGACATTTGCTGTGTGTCAGTAACTAAGGGTTCTACTTACATTATTTCATTTAATCTTCATAATAGCCCTATGAGGTAAGTATTTTTATTATCTCGATTTTGGAGATAACAATACAGAAGATAAGAATGCCTAAATGATTTGCCCAAGATGACGCAGATGGTAAGCAACAGTCAGGATGACAGCCTAGATCTGCTGGACTCCAAGGCCAGTATGTCTAACCACTGTACTGTACTGTCATCCATTACTTACATGATACATCTAGACCAGCAAGACTCAAAATAGGCACCCAATACTAATTTCCAGCTAAAATTTTTAATTGCAACTCTTTATTCATGCCATAGCTTGTCTGTTGAGGGCTGAGACAGATTCAGTAAGGATTCCAGAATTACAAGTGTCAGGTTACAGTATTCAATCCTCAGAAGCTATAAGAAGCAACTGGTACAAAATCCAGATGGTATGTACAGGCAGTAAGAATCATGTGGTCATCAGTGATCAAGGTGAGTGGAAAAGAAGCAGGGGTTCTTCTATGATGCCAATAAAAACAATTCATGGGGGACATGACACTTAGCACAGTTCAGATGCAGCCAGGAGCTTTGTGGATTTTATAGGCTAACAGATTACCCAAGTAGGCAGAGAATTCTGAAGCCATGTGTTCCAGAGATGATAAATACATACATGTTCCTATTAATGCTCCTTCAGATTCCATAACAAAGGTTTGTGTTTTGACTCTTGGAAAGACTTCTTACAGTCTTTAATAATAGACTCTATGGTATCATTGCATTATTTCATGCATTCTTTTCTTCTAGCAGGGGACAAAAATGTCCTCTGTACACATTTCTTGTGCTGTAATAGCATGTAATTACTTCAACAAATTGGGAGTTATGTCATGGAAACACAGAAGTGTCCTCTTTTAAGATGGACTAATGGTTATCTAAATTTATTTATGATGAAAACTTTATTCTATTTGAGTGTTTCTTTAACCATTTAGTTAAGATACTTCATTCCTGAACGACTTGGTTTTAAGTTATCCAGTATTGCCAATAGTACACAACATTTCTGAACCTCAGAGAGTTTCGTTGACATTTTCCATCCTTCCCCTAAACAAATGCTCATTAGCATATGCCTTTCTAAGTTATTTCTTACTCTTCTTCTTCCCTTTTAATCAATAGCTGAGTTTCATAGAATTATTCCAGAAGATATTGTCCAGAACCTTTCATATAGAACTATGTAATACATTCCTACTTCTAAAGTATATCACTAACCATTTATTAGACACTTCTGCTTGAATGTTTAAGAGTGAACTCATGCATTCTTATCTTTTCTTATGCATTCTTATCTTTTCTTATGCATTCTTATCTCATTCTTATCTTTTCTTATTTTATTCTTATCTCTCTCCCCATCTGCCTGTCTTAGTCATATCTCAAATGAGTTACCATATCTCAAATCACCCCAGCTAGAAACATTGGAGTCTTCTCTGTTCTTTCCCTGTAAGCACTAATATAGCACCACATCCAACTGGAATTTCCCCTGAAATGTTTTTGATACTGGTCCATTTTGTTCATACTTGTCACCCCAGGCATGTGCAGGACTTTTCATTATTGCACCAGCTTCCAGGTACTGCCAAATGTTCTTATGTGAATTTGACCCCACCATCTATGCATTTATTCAGTCAAACCTTTATATGTTTCCTTGGTGCTAGGTACCAAGTTAGACATAGAGAATTCACTGTGGACCCTGCCTTCACAAAATGTAGGACCCATAAGTGGACATAAAAAAGATTAACACAAAGAAAAATAATTGATATATCATAATAAATGGCATTTTAAAAAGCAGATGCAGGTACCATGGGGACCTAGTTCTAGCTCTCCTCTTTTCAATCCACCACATTTTCTCACTACAGATCCTTCTCACTTTTCCTCATGGTACATTCTTTCCCCAAAGCCTCCATGATCCCAATTTCCAGTTGGGTTGAGTCTTACGCAGGTCTCTTCAGGTCCTTCAGTAGCTGAGTACCCCTCCCACGAAAACTAGATTTGACCCAACCCCAGAGCATACTTCCTTCTCCATTCATTAAAAATGTCCTGGTCCCACTTGTACTGTGATTTTCCACCTCCAAGCCTTTGTTTGCATGATTGCTCACCTTAAAGTATCCTTTAGTTTCCATTGCAATTGGTCCAAGTGTTCTCATTTCTCCAGTCCCAGTTTAAGATCTAACCCATTCATGATCTCCCTGGTGAAAAGTGAAAAAATGAACCACCTACTGCTCAATAAATCTACCTTCTATATTTTGTTATGCACTCATTCACAACCATTTATTGAGGGCCTGCTCTGTACCAGGTGTTGGGAGTGTGATGGTAAGTAATGACATACAGATCACTACACTCTCTATCCCACAGAAGGACAGGGACAGAGCCACAGCACAAATGAACAATGACTGAGGCAATTTCTGAGCGGGGCAGTAAGTGCTATGCAGAAAAGTATACAATGTATGTGTGAGTTTTGGAGTAGGATTGGCCACTTTAGGCTGGCTGGTCAGAGAAGGCCTCTCTGAAGATACCTAAGATCCAAGAAACGAGTCACACAAAGATCTTGGCCAAGTGTCCCAGAAGACAGGGACAAGAAAGGCTAAGTTCCCATCATGGGAATAAGTTTGGAATAGTCAAGGAACAGAGCAAAGGCAAGAATGTCAGGAGCACACAGAGCCAGGGTGAGATTGATAGGAGGCGATGTTGAAGAGCTAATAAAGGGCCACATCACATAGGGCCTTGCAGGAGTTTGTGTTGTATTATGAGTGCCACTCAGCTAACTCTTCCTTCTTTCCTTCCCACCTGCTTAAACTCAGGGGACCATGGAGATCATTTTTACATTCTGGGAGTTCACAATGCCTGCTATAGATGATGTAGGCTGTCAAAGTAAGAGGCAGGAAGAGCAAGTAGAAGGTGCCACACCAGTCCTGATGAGGGAAGGCAATGACTTGGTGAACTTGCTAGCAGTAGAGATAAAAAGAAGTGATAGAAAAGGAATGTTTGGGTCCAACAAGCTTTCCTGTTGGATGGATGGCAAAGGGTTGGGAAGCAAAAGGAAATCAAGCATACATTATATGATGTAGCATAACACATTTACTTAACTAAAAAATATATATGGACAGCTTCTCCATGGTAAACAGTGCACTAGGAATTGGAGATGGGTGGTAAAGTTATTCAGCTTTTCCCATTGTTTTCCTTTACTGTTTAATTTTGTCACCCCATCTGGATCTGATGGTTCTTTCAAATCGGGACCTAATTGGTACTTTATCTGTATTGTACATTGCATTCAGCACAGTCATGAGCATGTAAGAAGGTGCCCAACAAGCATAGACGTGATGGAGGAATAGATTCTGCAGTAATTTTACATATTCATGATTTTGTCCATATCGTACTTGCCTCCACATCCAGTGGACATGCCAAGAAATTACTTGCACACTCAAGGTGGAAATATCTAGCAAATGTATTCTTTACTGTGTAGCTATGGAGCATTGACAGCACTGTGGAAATATACACTAGCACACACATCACACATGTATACACATACCATCAACATTCCAGTCCCATCCCTTTCTCCAGCATTCAGTTTGGCATAATTTCAAGGTTAACCTTTATGTTCTCACTCTGACCAAAACATACCATCCCTTGTTGCACAAACCTTAGCTCCCTTACTTTATAGCAGAGTTTCTCAATCTCAGCACTACTGAAATTTTAAAGCAGATAATTATTTATTCTTTTTTAAGGGGAGGGGTGGCTGTTCTGTGCCTTATAGGGTGTTTAGTAGCATTCCTGGCTTCTACTCGGTAGATGCTAGATGCACACAATCCCAGTTGTGACAATGCAAAAATGTCAACATATTTAGATAGCGGTGATGGCTGCACAATTTTGGGACTATACTAAATTAGCCACTGAATTGCACAACTTAAAATAAATAAACACAGTAATTAACTTAAAAAAAAAATCCAGAACTGCCAAATGTCCCTGGTGGGGGCAGGGAGACATAAATAGTTGAGATCCACTGTTGTAAAGAGAAGGAGATATGATTTCCAAGTTCAAGTACCCTTTGTTCTAGCTCCCTTTTTATTCTCCTACTATTGCATTATAAAAACCTCTCTTTCTATTTTATCATCCCATTTGGCTTCTAGTGTTTTCTTCATGGACTCCATTTCTCTATTTTCTAATTATTCCCAACAGAGGTATTAAATCAGAAGCCTGCATTGTATAACCACGTACATGAGCACTAAAAGCCTTTAGATTGCTGATATAAATGTGAAGACTTAATTTTACTTGTAAATAGTTGTTATGTAATGTTGATTTCAAGTCTTCAGTGTTTAAATTAGTGGAATTTTTTACATAATTGAGAGGTAAATTCAGGCAGTCTTTGGGATGGCTTGTGTTATGTTTGTATGTTCTTCTGGTTTTTTCCCTAATTTATCAGTTGTTTGTTTGTTGATGTGTAACCTCTACTTTGTTTTATGAGAATCGACCAATTCCGTTTTGTGAGAAAATTCTATCTTGAACCAGGGTTGAAATCGGGTTAGGAAAAAAGGTTATGAAAGAACTATGGGATTGTTTACATCTATGTGATTCAGCCTCAGCTGTCTCTAATGTGGAAAGAAACAACCAAAATTCCAATCCAAATGGTTCCTAACAAAGCTTATTTCTTGCTCTCTAGTTCTGGGACATACTGCCCCCTCTACAAGAATTTGATATTCCCACATCTTATTCCAACTCACATTCCACTGGCCAAAACAAGTCTGTTTGCCAAACCCAATGCCAGTGGGGTGGGACCTATACCTCACTAGGAAGGGGTCTACAGGGGAAGGCCCAGTCGAAAGGGTGGCAAATACTTTTTGAAAAGATAATCAATGGTAATGATTTTACCAGAAGCACAGATAATTTCTGAAACATACAACACATTTTTGGGTAGGGAAAAACTATACATGTGATATTTCCAGCTGCTCGTACAAATATTCATGTTTGTATAGGAAGTTTCGTGTTTTAGTTTGGTGAATGATTTTTTCACACAACTGAACAGCCCACTGATGCTTTCTCTTTTTTCTTTCTTCAGAGAATCCGTGACTTAGAAGATAAAACAGATATCCAGAAAAGACAAATAAAGGACTTAGAAGAAAAGGTATCTGTCAAGTTCAATAACTACCTTATTCTTTGTTTAATCACAAAGTAATATTGATTTTGCTCACTGTATTTTCTTTCTGGCTTCTCAGTTATTGTGTGTCTTGCAGAGGTAGGTGTAGTTACAGGAAACCTAGCCCTCACCTTCAGTCAGACACCAGAATGCCAGCAAAGTCTCCCATCAGTAACTTGACCTTCAAATGTTTGTCTTTTGTGTTGCTTTCTTATTTTTTCCTGTGTTTTCTTTCCTTAGTTTCCCCTTCCTCATCTTCATTTCCTTTCCAAAAGTTTCTTCAGTGTTTTATTACCCTACTTTGCTCTTTTAAAAAAAAAATCTTTTAGCACCTTTTTTAATCTTTCCCATTATCATTCATAAAAAGACCTTTCATCATTGTGCTGCAGTTTCACCTCACCAATAAGTTAGAAACTTGGATTGATATACGATAATTATGTTGTCCTGCCACTTCCCCAGTGAGCTGAAAGAGCGGCTGCTTCCTCCAAGTCAGCCAGTGTTTTTGAGTGGTATAACACTGTGGCTGTTACAGAGGGCACTTGGAAATGTGTGTGGGGTAGGAGAAGGGACAGAGCTCAGGCTGGGATGTTGAACAAGCAGCAGTGAGCTACCCAGCCTTGCACAATAAAAAAAAAAAAGCCTGGAATTTTCAGGCAAGATGGCCAAATAGGAACAGCTCCTGCCTGCAGCTCCCAGCAAGACCAATGCAGAAGGTGGGTGATTTCTGCATTTCCAACTGAGGTACCCATTCATCTCAATGGGACTTCTTAGACAGTGGGTGCAGCCCATGGGGGATGAGTAGAAGCACAAGGGGTTGGGGAACTCCCTCCAGTAGCCAAGGGAAGCCATGAGGGATGGTGCACTCCAGCCCAGATACTACACTTTTCCCATGGTCTTCACAACCCACAGGCCAGGAGATTCCCTCTGATGCCTACACCAAAAGGGCCCTGGGTTTCAAGCACAAAAGTGAGCGGCCATTTGGGCAGACAACGAGCTAGCTGCAGGAGTTTTTTTCATACCTCAGTGGCGCCTGGAACACCAGCAAGACAGAACTATTCACTCCATTGGAAAGGGGGTTGAAGCCAGGGAGCCAAGTGGTCTTGTTCAGCGGATCCCACCCACACCAAATCCAGCAAGCTAAGATCCACTGGCTTGAAATCGTCGCTGCCAGTACAGCAGTCTGAACTCAATCTGAGACGATCGAGCTTGATGGGGAGAGAAGCACTGCCATTACTGAGGTTTGAGTAGGCGGTTTTCCCCTCACAGTGTAAACAAAGCTGCTGGGAAGTTCAGACTGGGCAGAGCCTACTGCAGCAACACAAAGCCATTATAGCCAGACTGCGTCTCTGGATTCCTTCTTTCCAGACAGGGCATCTCTGAAAGAAAAGCAGCAGCCCCAGTCAGGAGCTTATAGAGAAAATTCACATCTCCTTGGGACAGAGCACCTGGGGGAAGGGGCAGATGTGGGTGCAACTTCAGCAGACTTCAATGTTCCTGTCTGCTGGCTCTGGAGAGAGCATCAGATCTCCCAGTACAGTGCTCAAGTTCTGCAAAAGGACAGACTGCCTCCTCAAATGGGTCCCTGACCTCCATGCCTTCTGACAGGGAGACATATCCCAGCAGGGTCAACAGACACCTTATACAGGAGAGCTCCAGCTGGCATATGGCGGGTGCCCCTCTGGGACAAAGCTTCCAGAGGAAGAAGCAGGCAGCAATCTTTGCTGTTCTGCTGCCTCCACTGGTGATACCCAGGCAAACAGAGTCTGTAGTGGACTCCCAGCAAACGCCAGCAGTCCTGCAGAAGAGGGGCCTGACTGTTAGAAGAAAAACAAACAAAAGCAATAGCATCAACATCAATAAAAAGGACAACCATGCAAAAACTTTATCCAGAGGTCACCAACAGCAAAGGCCAAAGGTAGATAAATCCGTGAAGATAAGGAAAAATCAGTGCAAAAAGGCTGCAAATTCCAAAAACCAGAATGCCTCTTCTCCTCCAAAGGATCACAACTCCTTGTCAGCAAGGGAACAAAACTGGACAGAGAATGAATTTGATGAATTGACAGAAGTAGGCCTCAGAAGGTGGGTAATAACAAACTCCTTTGAGCTAAAGTAGCATGTTGTAACCCACTGCAAGAAAGCTAAAAATCTTAATTAAAGGTTAGAGGAATTGCTAAATAGAATAACCAGTTTAGTGAAGCACATAAATAACCTGATGGAACTGAAAAACAGCACAAGAACTTTGTGAAGCATACACAAGTATCAGTAGCTGAATCAATCAAGCAGAAGAAAAGATATCAGAGATTGAAGATCAGCTTTATGGAATAAAATATGAAGATAAGATTGAAGAAAAAAGAATGAAAAGAAATGAACAAAGCCTCCAAGAAATATGGGAATATGTGAAAAGACTGAACCTACGTTTAATTTGTGTACCAGAAAGTGACGGGGAGAATGGAACCAAGTTGGAAAGCACACTTCAGAATATTATCCAGGAGAATTTCTCCAACTTAGCAAGACATGCAAACATTCAAATTCAGGAAATACAGTGAACACCACAAAGATACTCCTCGAGAAGAGCAACTCTAAGACATGATTCACCAAGGTTGAAATGAAGGAAAAAATGTGAAGGGCAGCCAGAGAGAAAGGTTGGATTACCCGCAAAGGGAAGCCCATCACACTAACAGTGGATCTCTTAGCAGAGAAACCCTACAAGACGGAAGAGTGGGGTCCAATATTCAACATTCTTATAGGAAAGAATTTTTAACCCAGAATTTCATATCCAGCCAAACTAAGCTTCATAAACGAAGGAGAAATAAAATCCTTTATAGACATGCAAATGATGAGGGATTTTGTCACCACCAGGCTTGCCTTACAAGAGCTCATGAAGGAAGCACTATGTGGAAAGCAAAAACCAGCACGAGCCACTGCAAAAACAAACCAAAATGTAAAGACCATCAAAACTATGAAGAAACTACATCAACTAATGGGCAAAATAACCTGTTAGCATCATTATGACAGGATCAAATTCACACATAACATTATTAACCTTAAATGTAAATAGGCTAAATGCCACAATTAAAAGGCACAGACTGACAAATTGAATAAAGAATCAAGACCCATCAGTTTGCTGTATTCAGGAGACCGTGCCACATGCAAAGATACACATAGACTCAAAATAAAGGGATGGAGGAAAATTTACCAAGAAATGGAAAGCAAAATAAAGCAGGGGTTGCAATCCTAGTTTCTGAAACAATAGACTTTAAACCAACAAAAACAAAAAAAGACAAAGAAGGGCATTACATAATTGTAAAAAGATCAACAAGAAGAGCGAACTATCCTAAATATATATGCACCCAATACAGGAGCACCCAGATTCATAAAGCAGATTCTTAGAGACATACAAAGAGACTTAGACTCCCACACATTAATAGTGGGAGAATTTAACACCCTACTGTCAATATTAGACAGATCAATAAGACAGAAAATTAACAAGGATATTCAGAACTTGAACTCAGCTCTGGACCAAGCAGACCTAATGGACATCTACAGAACTTTCCACCCCAAATCAACAGAATATACATTCTTCTCAGCACCACGTAGCACTTATTCTAAAATCGACCATTGGAAGTAAAACACTCCTCAGAAATGCAAAAGATTGGAAATTATAACAAACAGTCTGTCAGACTACAGTGCAATTAAATTAGAACTCAGGATTAAGAAACTCATTCAAAACCATACAACTACATGAAAGCTGAACAACTTGCACCTTAATGACAATGGGTAAATAACAAAATTAAGGCAGAAATAAGTAAGTTATTTGAAACCAATGAGAATGAAGGCACAACATACCAGAATCTCTGGGACACAGCTAAAGCAGTGTTTAGAGGAAAATTTTTAGCAATAAATGTCCACAGGAGAAAGCAGGAAAGATCTAAAACCACCACCCTAACATCACAATTAAAGGAACTAGAGAAGTGAGGGGACAGAAATTCAAAAGCTAGCAGAAGACAAGAAATGACTAAGATCAGAGCAGAACTGAAGGAGTCAGAGACACAAAAACCCTTCAAAAATCAATGAATCCAGGAGCTGGTTTTTTGAAAAGATTAACAAAATAGATAGACTGCTAGACAGACACATAAAGGAAAAAGAAAGAAGAATCAAATAGACACAATAAAAAGTGATAAAGGAGATATCACCACTGATCCCACAGAAATACAAGCTACCATCAGAGAATACTACAAACACCACTACACAAATACACTAAAAAATCTAGAAGAAATGGATAAATTCGTGGACATTTACACCCTCCCAAGACTAAACCATGAAGAAGTAGAATCCCTGAATAGACCAATAACAAGTTCTGAAATAGAGGCAGTAATTAATAGCCTACCAACCAAAAAAGCCCAAGATGAGATGAATTTACAAATTAATTCTACCAGAGGTACAAAGAGGAGCTGATACTATTCCTTTTGAAACTATTCCAAACAGTAGAAATAGAGGAACTCCTCCCTAACTCATTTTATGAGGCCAGCATCATACTGATACCAAAACCTGGCAGGGACATGGCAACAACAACAAGGAAAATTCAGGCCAATATCCCTGATGAATATATTGATGTGAAAATCCTCAATAAAATACTGGCAAACCAAATCCAGCAGCACATTAAAAAGCTTATCCGCCATGATCAAGTCAGCTTCATCTCTGGGATTCAAGCCTGGTTCAACATATGCAAATCAACAAACGTAATCTATCACATAAACAAAACCAATGACAGAAACCACATGATTATCTCAATAGATGCAGAAAAGTCATGCGATAAGATTCAACATCGCTTCATACTAAAAACACTCAACAAACTAAGTACTGATGGAACATATTTCAAAATAATGTCAGCTATTTATGCCAAACCAACAGCCAATATCATACTGAATGGGCAAAATCTGGAAGCATTCCCTTTGAAAACCTGTACAAGATAAGGATGCCCTTTCTCA